AAAAAGGACGAAGGAAACATTACGCCTACATTTCGCACGAGCTCTCCCGGACCCACCCATTGGCGCGCGAGCGTGTGTGGGTTTGCCGTTCCGTGGCTCGCGCGCGTCCATACATCAAGATCACGTTAAAGCCACTTTCTTAAATCAAACGGCGTGCTACTTGCTTTATTTATACGTGTTCCCGCGCGTTTTGTCGCCCGGGGATTATCGTATTTCCCGTTTGCGAACTCACGAACTCGCGAGAGGAAGTTTGGCAACTGGGGTGGAAACTTCGGTAATCGAAAGAAATTTCGACTCGTGCACGGTCGTGCAATTGCTCACACGATGCTGATAACGTGACGATAACGTCTCTTTCTTCTGTGCTGAGAAACGGTCGTAAGGGTGAAAATATTCCACCAAAGAGATCTTGATACCGGTAAGTTCCTATTTACGTTTGTGATTACGCCACAAGATATATTCGTGTCTTGAACGTGGACATATCTTAAAATTACAAATATACATCAAACAATATATGTATATATGTATGTTGTTATATATATGGTTACAATATATATAGTAATTGTTTTTTACAATGTATGTACGCTTTTAGAATAAATTTGGATAATCAGAAGAGGATAGAATAAATTTAAATATAATCAAGAAGACGATGTGAAATAAAAAAGACAGTAGAAAACAGTGAAAGACGGAGAGAATGTAAAAGTAAAAATGCTGCAGCGAATGTGAAGATTTAAAAGTCGCCTACAGAGAAGCAGAAACATACATACTTCTTCACTGTGTCGATATAAATTCAAACTTACGCCTGAAATTCCAATTGAATTAAATTCTCGTCGAGTTTTTTATCAATTGACGCCCCGGTCTCTCTCTTGAACGATCAGTTTCGCTCGCCCGACGACTCTATCCACGGCTACCACCACGGCTATTAAACTCGCTGCTATTATTATCCGCTCGAACTTTCTAATATTAGATACGAACGATATATCACGTAGGACGAATGGCTGAAGTTGAAAGTTTCGATTAACGAGCCGATCGTGGCACGCTCGCGTCCGAAGATTTAAAGGGTACGAGCAGATCGGAGATCGACGATAAATTTCGAGGGAGTATCAAATCGACAATTTATACATCGCGTACGGCTGGACGACAGACTGGAAAACTGTGCCGTGGGACGGCTGGCTCGCGACCGAGGATAACTCACCCTCGTATATTACTCAACATTAATTGTTTTTTTTTTTTTTTTTTTGTTAAACAGATGCTGGGTACGCGGACGTAATTATTACGGCACCCGCGTTAATAACGCCGTTAATTAACGAATACAACTTACCGGAGGTAAGTTTAATATCGGTAGTCAAGTCAAGTTAACATAGCGCTCCTAACCGAGAAAATTGAAAAACACACTCACGCTCTTTCGGGCGCGCCGGCGCATGGAATACCGACCATCGAATCGGCAACCCTCTTAACTCCTCCCTTCCTACTTTTCGTTCCCTTTCTCTCGTTCTTCGTTCACCTTGGGACTTGGTCGATCACCGGCGTGTACGTACGCAGAGCGGCGCGCTAATGAAATCCGTCAACGAGACGGGACGAGTCGAATCGTTTGAACGAACGATTTGAACGACGTGTCACTGTCAACGACCAAACCAAACACAGTCTCCAACCAACAACCAACGAAACAGAGAGTAGAGAAGAGGAAAGAGAGATCGTTCTGTTGATTTTTCCCGGGAAAAGTGTAAAAGGGGCGAGGGGCGGGGGACGATGCAAATACAATTACCCTGGTCGAAGAATGTTCTAATTGACCGGTTGAGGTTTGACAAAAATGCCGGGCGATCCGGAGAGACGACATTCGGCCGCGAGTGTGTGTCCCTCCCCCTCCCCCTTCCACTTTCATCCCCCGTTTCGTGCCCCCGTTGCAAAAAGCCGATGATACGAAGTCGATGGCCGAACCGAAGAAGAAAAAGAACCGCCGGGGCCGTTGGTTGCAAAGGTTGGTTGCAAAAGGCGGTGCGCGCTGAGAAACGGGCAGGCGGAGAGGAGAGATCAGAGGAGAGAAACCAACAGTGAAACGAGAGGAACGAGCGAAAGGGTGGAGGAAGAGGGAGGGGGGGGGGAGAAAGATGGAGAGAGACGAGAGACGGGGGAAAAGACGAAAGGACGAAAGGACGAAAGGAAGAAAGAAAGAAAGAAAGGGGAGCCGAGGAGAGAAGCGAACGACGAGAGCGAGGAGCGGAGCCGAGAAGAGAAGAGAAGAGAAGAGAGAACAAAAGTCGGGTCTGGAACAAAAACGTCCAAACTGCAGTCGGTTCCCGAAGAGTCACAGATCCCACAGCGAGCGATAAAGGCAGGGTCAAACGAAACGACGAGGATGGGGACAGACGAAAGAAACGAAAGATAGGAAGAAGCACGCGGGCCGAAACTGGGTGCACGCTCCCCTCTTCGGGGGAGGAGGGCCAAGGGAGAGGCCAGGGTGGGAGAGAATCTTCAGAAATGAAGCAGCAGCAGCAGCAGCAGCAACAACCAGCAGCAGCAGCCCAGCAGTCGCACCGGGGGTAAAGATGGACCGACTTTTACCTACGTCCGGCTGTTTGTATGCGTTCACCCGAGATCAAGTTTTTCTCGAGTTCTGAACCTCCGGCAGCGAGAGCCAGCCAGCTAGCCAGCCAGCCAGCCAGCCAGCCAGCCAACAGCACCAGCAGCACTCCGACTCGAATCCAACTTGATTTCCTGGCACGCGGTTCATCTTGTCGTTTATTCTCTCCCACTCTCTTCGGGCCGCGTGCGTCTTTCTAGCTCTTTCCCCCCCCCGTCTTCGTCCCTCTTCTCGTCCTTTCGCTTTTGCTGGAGCGCTACGGATCGTCTACGTGCGTGACCGTGCGTGTGTGTACGTACACAGATGTGTGTACGTACGTAGATACACGTATCCACGTACGCGCTGTACGGATACCGCGATACGAAGGTAGACTGGAACGAGGGATGGTCCCGCGCTAGGAACACGTGCCCTTTTCCAAAACGAGCAGCCTATCTCGTCCCCCTGATCGTCCCACTGACTATCCTCTGGCCCGAGAATTATACACGGTGCCGCGCGACCACTGCCAGAAATTCTACAGGCAATTTCTCGGTGAAAAATGCCCTATTGGAGGACGACGATCCATCCACCCTCTGTCAGGTTTGGGAATCCTTCCACTCGGAATTCCTTTCAGGAATCCGAGCATCGTTATTGTATAATTTCGATACTGTATCGGTGTTTCGGTATCGAGCCGTCGTCCGTAAGCACGCGACTACTTGGTGGGAGTTTTCGTTTTTCTTTTCCTTCGCGAATGTATCCATTTTGCACGTGAAAAATATTACATTTCTTTGGCTAAAGTACAGAATAGAATAATAGCGATCAATCTTGGGGATTTCGATATAATTATCGACATTCCTGAGCATTCCTGGTGGAATGCTCTTACCAACTGCTCGAGTAACTGATGTCAAATATTATTTTCATTCGTACGTCGGAGATGAATCGAACCGATTCGCGGTATCAGAATTATGCCACGATATATCAAGTCCCTGGTTTCTACAGGGATTACAGGGATGATATAATTGAAAAAATACTGATGTGCACAATATCGCGCGTAATATCGGTATTTTACGATTCTTTTTTAACGATCGCGCCGCTTCGTTTTTCCACGCTCGCGTATTCGCGTCCGCCGAAAGGCTAACAGCCCGAGGGAAGAGCGCACGGTCGATATCGATTTCTCCTACCATCTCACGATTAATCCGATCTGTACTCTCGGCCTGCTATTACGGGCATCCTCCATGTGTCCCCTCCCTTTCCCTTGCCATGCCGTGGTGTTCATCGGCAACGTATTGTTCCCGACGTATTGCTCTCGTCTCCCAGATTCTTCGCCACGATTCTTCTCTCTATCGTTGACCCTAATTACGTTAAGATCATTCCCTTACGTAACGCTTCTTCCCAAGCGGGCGAATCGCGTCGTGTCTATCGCATCGTAAGACGAGAAGCCTGTACTTACGTGTAACGTGTATAAATCCATACGGTCACGTTTAGCCGGTGATAAACGAGCCACTGATGATAAACAAGCTTGGCCGATCGTTGGCCCCGTGCCGATTCCATCCGCGTGTTCGTCGCGATTATCTCTTACTTTCGTCTTTCTTTCTCGACTGTTTCCTACCTCGAGACGCGGATGCTTTCGATTCAAAGTGTCTGGCTGTACGTGTGCATTCTCGTTGTTCGTCGACGACGCTGAAATTCTTCACCTCGAGGGAAAAGGAAAATTTCCAGAGTCTGTCGTTTCTTCTATTTTTGAATGTTTCGAATTGGCTGGTTAAAATTGTATATACTGATGGGTGTTGCCGGATGGGTGGTACCATCGGGCAGGTGATGATTCTACGTGCGAAAAAGAGGAGCCGGAAAAGAGGAATAACATTTTTTGGTTCGAAGCTTCGTTTACGAGAAAATCGAGTTTGAATGTTGTTACATATATTTTCACACGATCGATGAAAATTTTCAGAATCTCTCTTCAGCAATACTTTCGGATCGAGACTCTATGTATCTTTCTCCCAAGGAGGAAATTTCCCAGAATCTCCCTCTCTCTCTCTTTCTCTTTTTGTGTACTTGAGGTAAAAAACTTTCAGATTAGAATGTCAAACTACATACTTCTGTTGTTATCGGTGACGTTAAAATTTCCAGAATTTCTCTCTCTCTCTCTTTCACCGAGGCATCGTTTCCTTCTAAACAGAAAGTTGCCGAGCAAGTACCACGATTTTTAGCTTTTAGCGTGCGCTGCACCTAGAATCAAGGTCGGGGTTCGCCACCCCGCTCCCAGAAAAAAGAGAGAGAGAGAGAGAGAGAGAGAGAGAGAGAGAGAGAGAGAGAAAGAGAAAGAGAAAGAGAAAGCTGTTACGAGGGGAAGGACAGAAATCTGGTCGACAAAAAGCGGCGAATGACTTTCAGAACGCAGCGGATCATTAATATCTACTGGGATGATCAATCAAAGACGTGAACTTACTTTGGTGGACGTCGTACTGGGCCTGGTACCACCAACACCGATGGCGTACAGCTCCACCTCGTACCACTGGATTCCTGTTTCCCTGTCCAGCGCGGCAGCCGTCGACAATATACCTGTCTTCGTGTCGACGTCGAACAATCTGTCGACCTGCGGGCCGCCGCTACCAGCGGTCACGTTCGTCACGTAGTATTCCAGATCGATGTTCGATCTACGACTACGGGCACTCACTCTCAAAATGCTCGTGCCGATCGGTTCGTTCTCGTACACGCTCCCCTCGATTTGTCCACGATGCTCCCATATTGGCTGATCGTCCCCATCCTCACCGGGCACTATCAGGGTCAAATAGGTCTCCGTGGATCTTCGTTCCGCCTGAACGGCTTCGTCCGTCGCGCGGATCCCCACCTGGTACTTGGACACACGTTCGAAATTGTTCTTCAAGGAACGTGGCAGCCGCATCGTCAACTGGCCCGTGTTCCGGTGAATTCGAAACATGTCCGGATAGTTGACGCTCGATCTAAGCAGCTCGTAGGTGACCAAACCGTTCGTACTCGAGTCGAGATCTCTGGCAACCAATTGCGTCACCGTGCTCTCCTTCTGGTACTGATAGTTCCCCTTCACTGGCAAGACCACGGCGGACATGCTGACAAAGATCGGCGCGTTGTCGTTGATATCCTCGACGATGACGATCACCAACTTCTCGGCTGATAGCCTGGCGCTTGGTGGCTGAGCGCTGTCTGTCGCCACGACCACCAACTTGTACGTGTCCACCTCCTCGCGATCGATCGGCAGCAAAGTGTGTATCACGCCGGTCGACGGATTTATACCGAATCTTCGCACCTGATCCTCCGGATCTTGACTAGCGATGGAGTATGTGACCACGCCGTTCTCGTTCGAGTCCGGATCCTCCGCTGTGATGGTCACTATCGGCGTGTGCACCAAGATCCCCTCTCGGATCTGCCTGGCTATCGCCGTATTCGGGAACACCGGCGGATTGTCGTTGGCATCGATGACTTCGACGATCAACGTGGTCACGGAGCTCAACCTCGGGTGACCACCGTCGCTGCAGGTGACGTTTAACGTGTACTTTTCCAGCTCCTCGTAATCCAGGGGCTTTCTCAGGTACAACGTGCCTGTCAGAGGATCGATGTAGAACGTGTCCCTCCTATTGCCGGCAGATATCGCGAATGTTAACTCGCTGTTCGGTCCCAGATCGTTATCGGTGGCTCTGAACCTAAGCAACTCGGTGTTAGTCGGCGTCGTTTCGAGAACGGAAATGCTCGATTTGTCGTCGACGAACAGCGGCACGTTGTCGTTCTCGTCGAGCACCTCGATGTGCACGGTCGTGCTCGAGGACAGACGAATCTCGAGACCAGCGTCGTGCGCCACCACCGTCAACACGTACGTATCCGTGGTCTCGCGATCTAGCTCCTTCGTCAGCGAGATTTGCCCGGTCGCCTCGTCTATGGCAAATCGGCCGTGCTGGTTACCATCCTCCAGAGAGTAGAACACGTCGCCGTTCAGTCCTTCGTCAACGTCCGTTGTGTACACTCGCAACAGCTGCGTCCCGATCGCGGCGCCCTCGTTCACCTGCACTCTGTACGGCAGCCTCTGAAACTGCGGGATATTGTCGTTGACATCGGTGACGTAGATGACGACTTTGACTCGATCGCGGAGTCGGTTCGCCCCGTTGTCGGTGACAGTGGCCTCCAAGGTGACGTAGCTGCTACCGGTATTGGTGACCAGTAACTCTCGGTCGAACACACGGAGGGACTTGATGAAACCGTTCCTGGGGTCGACGGTGAAGTCCTGTTGGCTAGTCGGCAGGGAGAAGACGAGATCAGCGTTGCGACCCACGTCCCGATCAGTGGCCAATAATTTCCCGACGAACGTGTCCGGTGGCTCGTTCTCGCGTAGGTGGAGGACGAAGCTCGAATTGGTGAATTCCGGCGCGTTGTCATTTTCGTCGATTATGTGCACGACCACCGGCACTACCGAACTTCTCGACGGGCTACCCTGATCGGTAGCTGTTACCTCGAGCGCGTAATAGTCCAGCTCCTCCCGATCCAGAACGTTCTTCACGTACAGCTGACCGTCCGGAAATATACCGAACCGATCCTCGGTGTTTCCGTCGGTTATGCTGTACAACACACGGCCGTTGGCACCGAGGTCCACATCGACGGCCGTTAAGGAGAAGAATCTGTCGTTCACTGGCGTCGATTCCAGCAGAGAGGTCTCGTAGCTGGTCAGCTTGAACACTGGCGTGTGATCGTTCACGTCTTCGATCGTTACCCTGACTTGGTGCTGAGCGGACAGCGGTTGATTTCCGGAATCGGTCGCGGTTACCTCCAAGTGCAGTACTGTACCCGGCGCTGCTCGTATCGGCTTGTCCAGGTAGATGATTCCGGAATTCTCCGCTACCCTGAACTGTCCTCCGGGATTGTGAGTCAACGAGTAGACGATCCTCGCATTCGCGCTGGCATCCCGATCTTTCGCGCGAGCTAGGCACACTTCCTGTCCCACCGCTGCATTCTCCTTCAGTGACACCTCGTCACCGATCTCGCCCTTGGGAAATCTCGGTGGGTTGTCGTTCACATCCAGCACTGTGACATTCACGGACGTTTGCCCGTAAGCGAGTCCAGCTCTGGCCGATAATTGCAGACTGTAGTAAGCCACCTGTTCCCGATCCAAGCATCCGGACGTGCTGATCGTGCCCGTGCTCTCGTCTATCTTGAAGCTACCTTTCGGATCGCCATACACGATCGCATACGAGATCTTGGCGTTGCTGTACTGCGCGATCTGCACAGCACCCACCTCCCGCGCGAATACGTTCGACATCGTGTCACATTCTCCCCTATCCTCGGCTATCCTGAACTCGTACCCGTTATACGCGTCGAACTCCAAGTGTTCCAAGTCCTCCTCGCGGATGATCTCCACCAAAGCGTTCCGACCGGCAGTTCTGTCGCCGGTGTCCTTCGCAGATATGTTCAACTCGTACAAGGTCTTGTGAGCCGCTCTGAGCGAACCTTGAAGGGTGATCTCGCCAGTTCTTTCGTCCACGGTGAATAGCCCTTCACCACCGGATTCCAACGAGTATCTCACCTGAGCGTTTTCTCGCGCGTCGGCATCGGTCGCCATCACCTTACCCACCGATGTTCCTGGCGGGGCGTCTTCTGGTATGGGCATCAGATATCGCCACGGGTAAAAAACCGGTGAGTTGTCGTTAACATCCTCCAGGATTAATATCACCGTCGCCGTGGACGATTGCGGCGGTGTCCCTTGATCCTTGGCAATCACTAGAATCCGATATTCGGCGGTGGTCTCGCGATCCAGGTTCACTTTCGTCGTTAACTGTCCTGTCAGTCCGTCCAAGGCGAACGTTTTCGGATAGTTCCTGGACACGCTCGAGTGAAAACTGTAGGCGACGCTGCCGTTCGTTCCTTGATCGTTGTCGACTGCCGTCAGCGTGGCGACCAGACTCTGCGATGGTGTATTCTCCGACAGCGTAACTCGGACGACGTTCTGCGAGAATCGAGGCGCTTCGTCGTTCTCGTCGAGGATCGTGACCTTGAGGTGAGTGGACGCGTACTTTGGATTCGGGCCACCGTCTCTGGCAGACACGTGCAGCTCGATGCTTCCTTGCACCTCTCTGTCGAGAGTGGCGATGGTGGTGACCAGGCCGGTGTCTTGATCGATCGCGAACCAACCTTGCTCGTTGCCCGAGTCGAAGTCGTAATAAATTCTCGCGTTCAGCCCGGAATCGGCGTCTGTAGCAGAGATGCTAGCGACGAAGCTGCCGGTTGGCGATAATTCCGACAGCACGGCGGAGTACTCGCTCTGTTGGAACACCGGCTCGTGGTCGTTAACGTCGTTCACATGGATCACGAGGTAGGCAGTTGCTGAACGCGGCGGCGTTCCTTTATCGGTCGCTACCACCGTCAAATTGTACTTCGGTATCTCCTCGCGATCCAGACGGCCGTTCACGCGAACTATGTCGAAGCTAGGGGTGTTGTCGAGCCGAAAGTGGCCCAATTCGTTGCCAGCACGAATTTCTACGGTGGTCTCGCCATTTAGGCCCTCGTCGTTGTCGATGACAGCGACCGCGGCCACAATCGAGTCCTTGGCAGCGTTCTCGTCGACGGTGGCGAATCCTGGCGTGGACGGGAAATAGCTGAACTTTATTTCAGGATCGTGGTCGTTCGCGTCCAATAGATTCACCGTTACGTAGGTCCGGCCATCCTGCCTCGGCGAGCCGTGATCTCGAGCGAACACCGTTATGACGCAGCTCTTTGGACAACCGTCGCCTAGACGCGCAGCGATCGTGCAACTTTGCTGCGGACAGTCCAAAGGCTCGACTGTCGTTATCGTTCCCGTTTCCGGGTCGATCGTGAACTGCCTTTCGCTATCCGGCAGGTAATACGTCAGCTTGGAATTGTCCTCGGAATCCTTGTCCATGGCGTGAACGGTCAACACTCTGGTGCCTACCGGTGCGCTCTCGTTCAAAGCGACTACGTAGTCGCTCTGTTGGAATATCGGTGGATTGTCGTTGACGTCCAACACGGTCACGTTTACCAGAAGGTAGCCTAACCTCGGTGGTCGGCCTCTATCCCTTGCGCAGACGTTCAACGAGTAAAATTCTACCTGTTCGCGATCCAGTTTCCCTGTGGTTTCCAAATGGAGGTAAGACGTTTCACCGGCCGGATTTCCGGTCACCTCCAAACGAAACTTCCCGTCGGTGTTCCCGTCCACGATGTAGTAATCGTCGACCACGCCGTTCTCCAACGTGTCCTTGTCTGTGGCAGCGTCCAGCAACAATTTCGTCCCGACCACTGCCGACTCCGAGAAACTGACGGCTATGCTCGACTCCGGAAATTCCGGATCGTTGTCGTTGATGTCCAACACGAGGATCCTCACCTCGATCGGATAAGTCGGCTGGCTGGACAACACGACCAGGTCGAACCTGTCGCTGCTCAACGCTTCCCTGTCGAGCACTTTGGCCGTTCTGATCTTGCCAGTTTCCGGATCGAGCACAAATTCCTGCGGCGGTTCGTTGAATCTGTAAGTGAAGCCAGGCTTGACGGGTATCAGGCCAACCAGCGTCCCCTTTGGCTCGCCTTCTCTGACCTCCAGTTGAACTCTCGTGTCGACAGCCCTGCTCTGCATCGCCAGGCCCATCGCCGCGCTGTCCTGCGGTAACATCGGCGATCGTCGTGGCACCAATCGAGTCACTCTTTCGGATGATAGACCCTTGTGAGAGAAGTAGTCGGACGCGTGAGTTTCCTGGTCGTTCGGCTGGCCGCCATTTTGGTCCACCGACAACAGTCCCAGGACCAGGGCTAGGACCATCGATCTTCGAATGATCATCTCTTCTGTCCCTTCGAACGCGCCCCCTTCCTTACCTAAATCCCTCTCTCGTCCGACGACATAAAAGTATCGCTGTTCCTTTGATACTACCTCTCGTTCTTCTTCCTCATCGTCGGTCGCACGTTCATCTTTCCCCTGGTACGTGGCTCTTTACGCGCTCGACATATTCGTACCAAACCGAACCTCAAGAAGTCAACGAGCGGCCGACCAGTTGTCCCGATCGCTAACGGGTTCCATGCTTTCCGATCTTTCTCTGTTTCTCTATTTCTCTCCCTCCTCTCTTTTCGATCAGCTCGTTCCTTCGTCCGTGTTCTTCTCGGCGGACTTCTGATTCGGGCTCGGCTCGAAATCGGATTAAGGATGCCTCGAAGGTGTGGGCGTTTTCTTTTTTATTCGCTGCTTTTTTGCTCGTCGCCGCGGAAAGTCAAGTGAACACGAGAGGCTCGAGCCGACAGAGGGGGCACTGACCCACAGAGCCGCGCCTCGCGAGAACGCGTCTGCGGATGCTGCTCGCCTCCGATCCTCCGATACTTTTCCACCTTCCACCGATCACCACCACCACCAACAACACCACCACCACCACCACCACCACCACCACTGTTGCTGCTGCTGCTGCTGCTGCTGCTGCCACCACTACGACCACCTTTTTCTATCCTCTCCGAAATCTCGACGATCCACTCTGTGTGGATAGCGCGTACAGCTGGGATCAAGGGTACGGTGTGGTACGATGCTCGTTGTCGGATCGAGAGTTCTCTCGCGACGATTTCCGACCACGTTCGCGGTCGCTGCTCCCTCGCGTCCCTCTCCTCGTGTCGCTTGAAAAACACTCGTCCTTGTTATTACGCGCGATTCTCTCGCTTTTCGCGGTTCCCACCGCTTTTCATTCCCTCCTTGTCTACCAGGTAGTCTTTCCTCGTGCGATACTTCCTCAGAGTTCTCGTGACACGTCGGGGCAGTAGATAGAACCACTCTCTGATATCGTGCTTCACAGCGGAATATTCAAAGTTCACGCGCAACGATACCCCGTTTAAGAGATGCACGAAGTAAATACGTCGCGATGTCGTGCGAACGACAAAGAAATTCGTGAGTGTCGATGTTCTATCGATGGCACGGGATATTCCTCCCGTGATGTAACAAGATGGTTCTTCAAAGGTTAGATCGAGGAACTAAGATGACCGAATCGAGACGATCGGCGGATACTCCGGATCGTGGAAACACTCGGTCGTCGTCGAGGTCGTAGTTCGTATCGATGGGTTTCGTACTCGCGCGCTTCTCTCGTGCTCTCTCACTTACCACCGAAACGTTCGTTTCACGGGGGGTGGTGAAGATCGAGGGATGGACAGCAGAGACGCGAGAGCTAGAGATGAAAAGACGCGGCACAGCCACGAAACGGAACGTATACGCGAAAGATAACCGATGAATCGAAGAAGAGAAACGAAACGAAAGGGAGCAAAAGAAAGGGAGGCACGCGCACGCACACGTATACGCGAAAGGAGCGAAAAGAAGGAGTAACGTGGGCCGTAAACGCGACGACGTAAGGCCCCGTGAACGTACGACGACGAAGAATATCACCTTCCCGAGGACTGACCTGGCTCGACTGAACCGAGACGGTCCCAGAGTTGCCACTGCCGGGAGAAGCATTCTTCGGGCTGGCTGACGCCGTCCCTCTCCGATCCATCGGGCCCAATGTATGCTTCCGTTTCTCTCGCTCTTCCCTCATTCCTCTCTCTCTCTCTCTCTCTCTCTCTCTCTTTCTCTCCCCCTTCTTGCTCCTTCTTTCTTCGTCTCTCCTTTCGCTCACCGTTTACTCCCCGCTCTTTTGCCGCGCGCTCGCACACCTTCCATCGATATCTATTTTTCTCTTTCTTCGAAGAAACCTTCGACTTTCTCTTTCCCTCTTTCTTTTGTCGTCGTCTCTCTCTCTCTCTCTCCGTTCCATGCGTCTCCACGCTCTCCGTCAGCATTACTTTCTCGTTTCCACTCGCTTTGCAACCCTTTTATCAATATCTCTCCTCCCGTTTTGACTTTGCACGAACTTCTTCGATCTCTCGTCTTATTCCTTCCTTCTCTCTCTTTCTTCGACCCCTTTGCTCTCTCTTTGTTCCTTTCATTCCGTTCCCCGTCATCGCCCTTAGATCCATCTTTCTTCTCAAACGTATTTAGAAAAGCCTCTCCGGGCCCGCATGCTCTTTCTTTCCTCTCCGATTTTCTCAGGCGACCTATCGACATCGCTTTTCCCCTCTTTCGTCTCTCTTTCTCTCTTCCTACCTCCCTCCCTCTATCTTTCTCTTTTCAACCACCGATCGGTGTCGCTTTTCCTCCTCGTCTAGCGAAGCATCCGCGAACTCTCCTTTTCCGAGACACCGATTTCTATCCTTATCCCTCTGAGACTCCTCGTTCTTTCTATTCCCTATCTCGTCTCTTCTCTCTCTTTCTCTTTCTCTTCTTGCTCTACTCTCCCGATCGAGTCGAAGGATTCGACCGTCTTTCTTCAACCAAGTATCGATGGCGTTTACTCTCCTCGTCTAGAGAAACATTCGCGGATCTCCTGCTCTCGGCCCTTCTAGCTCTATCCTGCTCCATCTGGGCCCGATGGTTCGCTCCATCTTCGTTCGTTCCGGTAGTGTCTCCATCTTACATTGCTCCTCCTTCGTCTGACCCGAGGATCGACGGTCGAGCTGTCCTTCTCCACTCGGTACATGCTAGTCCAACCACGTTGGCACGGCGGCGATATAGGTTTCCCCTCCGTGGGCCCTACGTGTCTCTTGCTTGCCTCTCCTCCCTCCTACGGAAGGTGGCCGGGCCCCTCATAGCGCCCTCATTCCCCGTCTCCGTCCCCGCGGCCGTTATCCTCCCACCTCCGACTCTATCCTCGCGCATCCCAGCGTCGTCTCGCGTTGAGATATTCTCCCTTTTGCCCTCGAGGAACGAGCAATGCGGAGGCTCAGGTATGCAAGATGGCCGCCGCTGAGAAGCGCTCGCAACGAGGACCGCTTACGGGCGAATCAGAGAAAGAGACCGGCTGCCCCGGTGGAACGGAGTCGGTGTTAGCTAGTGGAACGAGGACGGGACGTTCACATCAAGCTGGAGGGACGAGGAGAGAACGATCGAGATGAATAATACGCGGGGGTGGAGGGGTGACGAGAGAACGAAGAGGAGAGAGGGCAAGAAAGAGAAAGAAGTTGGAAGTTGACAGGGGTGTGGGGCGGTGAGGAAGAGAGGCGGAGGAACGAGGAGGTCTAGAGCCACGATATGCCGTAGATATACATATATCCGCGGCCCTGTAACAACTTTTATAACTAATCCGTTACCACGATCGAACGCTTCGGCTCTAACTTTCCACCTCTCTTCCCTCTCGGACCTCTCTTCCGTTTTCTTTCCTTGTATTTTTTTTTCTCTCTCTCTCTCCACTCGATCGAGAGCACGGCCGCGCGACTAGATTCTCTTCGCTGTTTTCCTTTAATCTAGTTTACTGGGTACCAGCCAGTATATAGGTACCACCAGCCCCGCCTCCCTCGATCCACTCTATGTGCCGATTACCGTATCGATAGCTAACCCGATTTACGCCCACCACCGCTTCCTTCCTTCCTTCCTTCCTTCCTTTCTTCCTTTCTTCTCCTTTTTTTTTTTCTTTTCTTCGTCTCTCCGACTGTAAATGTAACCGAAGATTTTGAACGGAGCGCGGATAAGATAAGACCGCGTGTGCACGGCGCGAGAAACGTTTGGGAAATCGTTATCTAGGAAAAAACGGAAAGCATCTACCACGCGCACGAAGTGGAATGCCACGGGAAATTAGCGGTCTCTAAGCTCTGACTCGTAACAGCGCAAACACTTTAAAAATCTTTTTATCTAAATAGATCTGGTCGAGACGTTTCGAACAGAGATCTATCCGCATTGGAAATTGATTTTTTTTAATTGCGACGCTACTTTCTGGTAACATGTCAAAGGTTACAATATCAAGTTTTTGATCGCGCAAGAGTTAATTCCGAATATTTGTCAGGAGAGAAGGTGCGGCGGGATACCGCGTGTTTGATATCTGTCGTTCAACAATACGACAACATGCACATGTATGTGCCATTTCTTAGCCTCAGATATTCGAAAGGTTACGATCCGATAGACGACAAAAGATCCTGACATTTATTCAGATGATCCGATACGATACGATATGATACGACGCGAGGTCTGTAATACGGCTAGTTTTACAATTCGCCTGGTCGCGGCTGCGGGATAGTGCGAGAAGAATTGCCGCGTTAAAAGTGATTTTCTCGAATGCAACTGTGATTAATTGGACGCGAGATATGAATGGGAGTGTGTGACGTGGTAAACAAGTAGTAATAACCGTGAAAAGTCAGCCGAGATGGCTCGTGGTATGAATAACTAATCTCTGAACAAAAGGTGATTTATTCGCGACACGCATCCCGCAAATGAACGTGATAAATTTAATGGAAAGCAAAATAATCACCGTTATTCTTAAATCTTCCGTTCGACGTTAAATCATCCGCAGCCCTCAACAAACATATATTATGTGTCTTCATCTTGCAAGTATCTCGATTTGATACCGTTTTCCAAACACGCGTACAGTACTTTCTTGCAAATCGATTTACCAATGTAATTATACAAGACGAATTGGACTGTAACATACATTCATCAAAGCATACTTTGTAAATCTTATTTTAGTAGATCCGCAATGGTGCACGATGAACCGCAGTTCGTCGAGAAAGCCACGATTTAACCAGAAATACGATCGTTTCCCGCGTAGGTAAGCGTAACGATCGCCAACGCGATTCTTACTGAATCCTTTACTGAATCGTGATATCCTGGCCGAATGCGAAAGCAACTTCTTAACAACTTATTTTGCGATCTGCGGCCATATAAATTTGTCGGGGGTCGTTCCTCACTTGAAACGGGCTTTTGCGCCCACTTGTCTAACATTATTCCACGTTCTCACCATATACGGGGCAGCATCATTCACACAAAACAGTAAAATTCTATCGAGTTGCGGTGTTGCTACGTGGGCGTTACATGCAACAGCTTCATTGTTTCACCGAACAATAACTGTAACACATTCTCTTCTGTTTATCTTCGCCAGCACAAAACGTATCGGTTGTCAGTCGCTTCTGAATTATCTCCGAAAGAAAGAGGGATGAAATTTCTTAACATATCGATTAGCAAAATGTAAGATTATTATAATGTAAAATTATAAAATAAAATATGCAGGTTTTATTATATATATATATATAAATATTTATATAAATAAATGTGTACAATAAAAAATTCTAGTATTAAAGGTGTGATTATTTTTTAGGTGCTCCGTACGCATCTGGCATTCTCTCTATGGTATACCTATGCTGAGAAACATACATTATAGGTACACCAGGTATTTTTCGTATTCTCCTCTTTAAATCTTTGTCATTGGTTGCTACGATGTAACATTTGTGCTAAAAGATTATGGTATTGTAAATACTGTTAAGTAGACTTTTAGTTTTGAAATGAATTATACTCACTTGAGTCACCCTATTGACGATACAGTCATCTGCATAAATGCCTTTGTGCGTGCAGTTTAACCTTTCGAATCTAGGATCTTTCATAATCTTTAGAGCTATTTTATACTTTTGACCTAATTTCTCCATTTCGCCCATCACGCAATCCGTTATGTATGGAGTGCACTTAGCATAGAGACACTCCATCAAATTTTCTACGATGTCTAATTTGTTTTTGATTGAGAAATTTACAAAATTTGTGTCTATCAAAACATGGTAAGGAGGTCCCAATTGTGTATTATATTGGAAAAATAATGCAGAGGATTGCTGAGGTCTGTAATGATACATATTAATGATATTTTGTAATTTGGATAAAAATATTAAAACACATTCAACAATATTTACGCTTCTGTTATTTTAAGTTCAGTTGGATCTTCTTTTTTAACTTTCTTTGGTGGTGCACGAAGCTCTGGTTTTCTACAAATAGAAAATTTAGAAATAGTTTCTATGTAATTATAGTATTTGTTTATTTTATAATAATAAGACCAACTTACATTCTTGCATCTCTCGGGCTGATCATTTTTTTCATTTGTGCAAATCTTTGCATGACAACCCTTCGCGTTCTTTTATTCTTTCCCTGTGAGTTACAAATAAGTCAGAAAATCATTTTATGTCTGGTATAAGTTCAACAAAATTATTACAATATCAAACTATAAAAACATAACCTAAAATACGCATTTGACATTTCTTATACAAAGTACATCATTTCACAAACAAAACATTATTTACCATTTTTATTTAATATTCGATACTCTATTATATTTGTAGCAAAAAAAAATACAAGGAGTATTTCAATTATCAAACTTTAATTATCAAATCCGATTCAAAACAATGCAAACCGCGTGGAGATACGTTTCAGTACTATCACAGACAAGGTGTATGAATAGACCAAGCCTCTTATAAGATTTCTTGGCCCGTAACCTAAAATACCGACATAGTAAAAAATTACTGTACGTTTAAAGAACGGTGAGTTGTGAAATTATATCAAGTAAAACGATCGAAATTGATCACATAATGAATGCGCTAGAAATATGATTTTTGAAACCTATTACAATGATATCAGACCATCACGAAGTCTTCTTCGATCGATTCTATAATTTATACCTGAAATAAATTTGTAAAACATAACTGTTACTTACAGTTGAATGAAACATCATTTTGTTGTAACAATTTTCCACTTAGTCACTTTCTTTGATTCATATTCCATCATTCCAAACCTTTAAGTATATATATCTCTGTATTTTTCCTGTACGTAATACCTTTTGTAAATTAATACATCTGAAACAAACTTATGTATTAGATTAATATTGTAACTTAAATAACAAAGATCACGATGAAAACATATTACACACAAAAAAAAATCAGATTGTTGTGAAGCTATTACTTCATCATATCATACTTTATTAATTAAATTAAATTATTTTTTGACTCGAAATTATGTAAATTAAAAGCATTCTAGTGACTGGATTCAGATTAGATTGAATAAATCAAAAATTGAAAATTTATCTTTGATACAAAAAGATGAAAGAAGACTCGATTAAAATCATATTTTGATTTGTCTTTCAGCTTTTATTTACCCATTATGTAGTACAAAGAATATAAAGAATTGCGTTCTAGAATTGCTATTTTGTTAAATTTTGGTATAAAATTATAAATAACTTTTAGTATAGTATATTCTGTTTTAAAGTTTACACGTTATTATTTCTTCAATTGTTAAAATTATATGTAATAATTATTTGGTTAAATCTTACCTTGAGTTGAAGCCAAAAATACACGTTTTTAAAAAATTCACAATACAAACAGAAATCTAACAATTGTTGATTTAAATTTTTACCTGAGAACATCTGGATGATACTTCTTTCTGAGTAATTCTTCTGGATAATATTTTCTTTGTTACAGATGTGATGTACTTCTTTCCGCCATTCTTCCCGTTTAAAAATCGATTTTGAGAAATATCGATTATGTTGAAGAATCGTAAGAGAGATGTTCTATACTTCACCGTTGGTGCTGTAATCGTGGATCTCGCACGAAATGATAACTTGGAATAACAAATAAAAAACTCTGGTCTAAATGAAATACACAAAATTCACGAGACATTCTTAAAAAAGTACGAAAATATTCATACACTAGATAAAAAATTGTCAATACTTTAAACTGTTATAATTTCGTGGGAAAAAATTGTAGAACAATTAACCTGATTTTATTTTGCATAATGTGACAACACTATCCATACTTTTTGATTTTAATCTAACTAGTAGTGCTGCAGTGCAAAACCTGCCTAAATCAGTACAACAGTTCTAGGATTTTGAAATCGTAGGACAAAAAATACATCGTATACGAAGTCTATTCATATACCTTGTCTATGGTACTACCAACAGTATATTTTCTGTTACCTTTTCCACTACTCGTACCAACTTAAAATACTCGAACCAAGTTGGAATACTATGTAAAATACTTAAAATATACTACATATATAGCGAATTAAATAATTCGAAATTAATCGTAAAGGTAAAATTAATTAACGGTTTTTTATTTTTCTAATATACAAGGTGAATCATTTATTTACATAGAAAAATGTTTCAAACAATTATTCGTATAAAAGAAAATTTAGCCCAATTATTTATATTAAGACGAAAATTCAAGGTCACTTTCACATCTCAATAAAAAAAAAAAAAAAAACGAAATATCAAAAAACGAGTTATTACAGTGTATTTACGTCTTGTTTCAGTTGACATCGAACAACTTTCGTTTCGTACATTGTTATGACAAATAGTTTAAAATAAATTTAAGTGGTATAATTAAACGACTCATTCTGTATACATATAGATCAAATTATTTGTCATATGACTATCTCACAATTTATAATTATAATAAATTAGAAATTTATTTAAAAAGATACACAATATTCCTAAATTTAAATGTTGCACTTTTGTGCGCTCTTTTTCTTCGGAAATGAAACAAAGCATCTTCTTCGATTCACCCGCCATCTTCTCTATGACTTATGGGGGAGGAAAGAGACTTTGTGCGTGACGTGTGATAAAACACGAATTTTTTTTTTATAAAAAAACCGGGTAAAGTACGAAGAAAAATACGTACGAGGTATTTTTAGCATCTTATCATTATCATTCTGAACGTTTTATCATTGCTGCTAGTATTAATTTGCGTGCATGAGAAGAGCATTTACGTTCTAACCTATAAAGTGAAATGATCGTTGCACTTCATTCTCTTGCAAGATCTATCGTGTAATTTGAGAAAAATGCCAAAAAAACCAAGTAAACCGTTACGCGGCGGCCGTGGTGGAAGATCTGGGAATTTCGAAGATAAACACTATTTTGGTATATTTCTTTGCCATTACTCAAATGAAATTGTTAATTCGGACTGAAATGAAATCATTCATTCATTCATTTCTGGATTTCTGCACAGGTCATGATTATCGTGTAGCTAGAAACGATGGTAATTCATATCATACCCATAACAGACCCAGAGTATCATTCAAAACACAAGCAAGACCAGCAAGAGATGTACCTAGGAGTCTGGCACTAGCATGCTTAGATGAAGATGTACAAATGGCAACAAGTTCAAATAATAATAATAGGCAAGTTATAATAACAGGGAGAAATAGGGGCACGCAACGTGGAAGAAATAGTCCAGTCCCCAATAGAAGATTTAGAATGGGTTTGGTACCTAGACTCAAACGAATTCCTCTTGGAGAACCTAGTTGGTATAAAATTACTGTAAGTATACAAGAACATATTATTATATAATAGTGTATCAGTTTATATTATATTTAAACATATATTGTAATATAATAATTATGCAACATATAGTTATAACTTTATAACATATTTTATATTGTGATATTATATATAATAATATATATTAATATCACAAAAATTATTTTCAATTACAGATACCATATGGACATAAATATGACAAAGATTATATAATAAATAATCTTCTCAGTTATATTGCACCGGAAACTTTCATTCCAATAATGGTAAATATAAAACATTCTGATTATGCTGCATGATTACAAATATTTAATACATAAAATATAAAATATAATAAAATATAAAAATTTGTCAACAGTACAAGGTGTTTGGAAATGAAGCCAATTTTTATGTGGATGATAATAAAGTAGCAGTTGCATTACTTGAGTGTGATCGTAAAATTACAACTACCGATGGGTACAAATTGTTAATAAGAGTTACAAAACCACCATTTCCTCAGTGTGAAATTGATGCTAAACTGAAAGAAAGATTAAAACAAGCCATGGCGAAACGATATGTACATGCGACAAATGCACTAGACTTGTCAAGGTTTCACAGAGATCCTGGTTAGTGAACTTTAAAGACAAATTTCCTGCGAAAGATATTTCAGTAATTTTTATATATTGTTATAGATCTTACTTCTGATTATTTTTGTGCACTGTTCCGGCCTCAAATTTTGAAAGCAGTATTGGACATTGTATCAGAACACATACCAGATTTAGAGGCACTAAATTTAGATGGAAATAAATTGCAGATACTTGAAAGATTAAGTATCTTGAATCACAAATTTTTAAAGTTAAAGATACTGTACATTGGAGATAATAGAGTAAGTAATAATTTAAAATGATATGAATTATGAATATTTTATCGCTTATATCGCGATAATTGATTCAATGTGTGGTTAATGTTTTATAGATAAATGACATGAATCAAATGGATACTATTAAAGATTTGAAGTTGGAGGAGCTCAAACTGGCAGGGAATCCAATATGCAACAAGTATAAATCCCGACAAAATGATTATATTAGGTAATGTATTGTTTCAATATGATTTTCCTTTTCGCAATGATGGGATTCTTCAGCTTCGGGTTGAATTAACAAAGTTTACAAATTTCACTTAATACGATTGATTAACAGAGTACATAGTAAACAAATATCGAGATTTTTATTTATCAAACTAGATTTTTGAATTATATAAAATAGATGGACGAAATTCTGAATAATCTAGGTATTCTCTATTTTAAAACTTTTTAATAATAAGGCAAATATTTCTGTTATTACGATTAACTTGGAGCTTCCGGGCTTCTGGCTTTTCTTTCCCGACTACAGCGACGTGCGGAAACGGTTTCCTAAACTCCTGCGACTGGTAAGTATTGAATAATAATCACGTTAGTCGCTATATTTAACAAAATATGGCAATTGCTAATTACTTTTAATAACATGTATAAGGACGGTATGGATCTTCCAAAACCGATATTGTTCGATGTTGTGGACGAAGGAAATAAAATGCCACCCTTTCAAAGAATGTTTGTTGCAAATGCAAAAGCGCAACAAGTTGCAAGTCAATTTTTGCAACAATACTTTCTGATATTCGATAGTGAGAATCGTGAACCATTGCTAGATGCATATGTCGAACATGCATGTTTCAGTATGACTGTGTTTTATCCTCATAATCCTCACAACCCAAACAAGTATGTTTCTGCATATCATTAACTTGAAGTAAACTTTCTGATACAATTTACTAACTGTAAATTAATTGTATACAAACTAGATTGAATGGTTACCTGATGGAAAATAGAAACTTGTACAGAATAAATGATACAAACAAAAGACAAAAATTACTAAAACAGGGACGTTTACCTGTAGTTTCATTTATTTCTGAAATGCCACAAACTTCTCACTATCTGAACACATTTACGATGGACATCAGTCTGATTACGGTAAGATTTTATTTCTTAGTATAAACAGAAACAGAATTTGCAAATCTATTCGTTATTGCACACAATAATTTTGTATTTCCAGGATGGAATAATGTTGATTACGGTCACAGGGTTATTTAAAGAACTTGACAAGAAAGAACAGCCCATCCGTTACTTTAATCGGACTTTCATAATAATCCCGGAAGGAAGTGGTTATTGTATTCGAAATGAGCAATTATACATTACTCAGCCGACAGATGCACAGTTAAAACAACTGAACAGTCAATCAGAAGCACAAATGACAGATCCAGGATCACAAACTTCATCAATTAGCGGCACTACGGAACCATTACCAGTACAATTGTCCGAGGATGTGAAACAACAAATGACGATGACGCTTAGTCAACAAACAAACATGAATTTGGAATGGAGTCTGAAATGTTTAGAAGAAGTGTCGTGGAATTATGATAATGCGCTTTCAGCGTTTCAAGAGTTTTACAAGCGGGGACAAATACCGGCAGAAGCATTTAATAAATAGGAACACTCTACATGAAGAAGTAAGATGTAGAGGTATTTTTATTCATTTTTCGTCCTTGTTGCATGTATCTTTTATATTATAATCTAAGTAGAGATGCAGGTTTTGCTGATTATCAAGTTTTTTTTTCTTTTAAGAAAGATGTTAATCTCAACAGGCAGTAATCATTCATTATTTGCAAATCGATGTGGAATTTTTGTTTTTATTTTATTTCGTGTTAAATTATTAGTTGCCATTAAGTACATTTACTACAAATAAAAAGATTGCTGTAAAATATTGAAAAAATCTTTTCCACAAAACAATGTATTTAACAACAAACTTCTTTTTATCAGTGAAATGCATAATGTTTTTACCTTCAAAGGTAAAAACATTTGTAACGGAATATAAACTGTATATCTATAATTTTGATTTTGAAAAATCAAATAACTGCCTTTTGAAATTAGAATTTAATAATAATTCATAAGTTCACAAAATTTCACAGAAAAATAATATTAAAACGCGATACAATTAATGTTGATTTCTATTCTTTTTTTTTTTTTTTTTGTTTTTTCTTTGTTTAAATCAATCATGATGCAATATTACAAACTTCATGTTTCAATTACTTGTAACATATAATTATTATTTTTGCATCAAAATATTATTAATATTAAGTTCATCAAGAAAGGCACGAGTGATATTCAAATTTCTCAAACTACTAGTTCAATTATTTCATATATACATAATGATGCACATTTCATATCATGATCCAAATAATCTATGTATATTTATCCTATTCTAGAATGCGTGCGCGTTTGTTCTCTAATATTCTTAAATAGATAATTCTCCACTATACAATTGTTAGAGGACAGAATATTTGTGCCTTTCTTTAATTGATGAATGAGATGTGCATCATTATGTATTTGATATAAATTAATTTACATTAAATTCAATAAAGCTATGATATAGTGAAAGAATGTACAATCTTAAAAAGATCATATCACAGCTCACTCCATATTTTGCTGGTTGTTTATATTTATTATAAACGTATTACATGAACATTTAAAAAAATGGAAACATCTGTCACATAATGTAAAAAAAAATCTATTCTCTTTGTAGTAGATTTTTTTAATTAATTTGATGTTAAAGTTATTGTGATATGATATTTTTAACAAAATATATTTAGCAAAAGAATTTAACGTCGATAGTAAAAAACAAATACGAATCAACCAAATTGAAAGATTTGAATCATTCAGTGGGAGTCGAAAATCTGCATTAACTGTACACTTTCAGAATTCACGAAAATCATATATACTAATGTATTGTTAATATTCGTGTTCATTGTTACATCATTTCGGTTAATAATCCAAAAATTAGCTATAGTTTGTGAGCATAAATTATTTATTGGCGTCCATAAGAAACGCGTATTAACGGGAAAATATTACTAATTATTACTATGTATATCCAAGAGACAAAAAAAGAATTAGCCCTCATGATCTATAAACTATTCAATTTGTCCATCTCTGGAAACGGTCGACTTGCCTATGTGACAAGAAGAGCATTGATGAAAGAACGGAAAACAACAGTTCTGATAAAGCAATTGGGATTCTAACAAGCAAGTTTGATCCCCTTCCTTGTCGAAGGTTGTCGATATGCGACAAAGTGTGCTACGGCACAATCACACAATGTTCGTGTCAAGAACCAATATATTAACATTGGAAAGGGCGATCTGACCGTATCAATTAATTTTACGGATTAAACCCACAAAGAGTTTTGTGCGGTGCTGATGTTGATCAGACAGAAGCTGTAACCGCCTCTTCATTTTGTGTCTTTCTGAAAGACATAGTAAATCATATCAACGAACGAAACTGATGGAAACACCATGACAATGAAATTAAAGAATGAAAAAACGAAATGTATTCAATATCATGCAGTTTGTTTGAAAGAATTTTTTTATGATATAAAAAATTGATTGATATGTTGCCAAGAGAATAATTTATGCCCACATTCTATACAGATTTTATTAAAATGACAAAAATATTTGTAACAATACCGTGAGCTCTTTGGAAAAATATCCATTCTAATATGTACTACTATTTGTTACTAAATCTTTTTGGATTTTTTTATGTAAAAGATATTGTTCAACCCTCATCTGTTCCTCAATTCAACACATTTTTCTTAAGAAATGTGTAAGATTATGTGATATCAAATTGATTATTTAAGAGCAGGTAATTGAATAGAAATTTCGTTCATTTATTGTAGAAGAATTTTTTCATTGTGAGATTTTAGCATTAATAAGTCAGTTTAATATTAAGGAATAAATTAAATTAGAAAAATGAGGAACGGAGAAGGGTTTTTAAAAAAAGAAAATGAAGGGAAAAAAAAACATTTTCTATTATTATTGCGTATAATAGTAAATTGATTCACTGGATAGTTTAATCAACGTTTTGTTGCGATTATTACTTTTGTTTTCATCTTTAATTAGCAAATATATGTAAATAACTATACTGATTGTACATGTTCGAGATACATTTTCACATTATGTGTTCTTGTCAAGTTAAGATATTTGATTACAACATAACATCAGATCAAATACACAGTATGTAATTAATAAAAGTAGATATTTGTATACGTGTATGGGCGTTTTTCATGAAAGATATGAATATAATGTAAATAAACATTAGAAATCTATTAAATATAATTTGCTTTTTACAAAATATATGTGTGATATTAGATGTTACCTTTTAAGTACTTTTCATTGACTAAATATCACATATCAGATTTCAGATTTAATCACAGTCGTATTTCCATTTTCTATTATCTGCAAATAAGACGTTGATTAATTTTTACTTTTAAATTTACAAAATATAAAATACTTACTTCATTATTTTCTTGTTTTGCTAAGTCCTGTTTTCCTTTCCGTTTAAAAAATCCTAACTGAAAAATGTTATTAAATAAAATATGTTATAATGATCTTCAACAGAAAAAAAAAAATTTACCATATTTAAAATTGTAGCAATCGTGCATAATAATAACAATCCGACTAAAACAGAAACAAAAATAATCCATAGCTGCAGCTTTTCTGTTTTGGAAGTGTAATAAAATGTTGTTATAACTTCCATTGTAGATCTACCATACAATTTTTAAATTATTTTTTACATAATATTTAAATACTGAATAGTTTTTATAAGATGTAAAAATTTACCGAGTTTCATTGATATCTAGTCTCACATCGGGTTTTATGATTTCTACGCTTACTTCAGTGGAAAATTTTAAAACAGCTCTATTATCCTTAAAATTGTCTTAAGATATCGAAGAAAATATAAATGAATAAAAGTATATAATATTTTAAAATATATAAAAAATTATTATAAGCGTTTACCTCTAAATTTATCGATATCTAATAGAAATTTAATCACCAACTTTCCGACATCTTGTAATGTTTTCAACGTATTTAAACTGCATACAAAAGTTGTACAATTTATCTCAGATGTTGTACAATTTATATAAGTAATATCATTCATCCAATTTTTATTCAGTTTTTCTGAAGTTTGAATATTCTTCACGTCATGCAAATATAAAGCTGAAGTTTTTACGTTTCTTTTGTCAAATTGAGCTAAGAATGGTTCTTCGTCAACCACATCTAGTTGATTATCTAATAAAATATTTTCTGAAGAGCATTCAAAAAGTTCTCCTGATATATATAGCTAAAAACATATTTTATCAACAATTTATATACTACAAAAGCAAGTCCATAAATTCTTACTTGAGGTTTGTATATGTATATCAAAGTTTTTAAATCTTCAATAGCTAATGGCACTTTAACAATGAGTTGCGCACTTTCAATAGGTGATGCTCCATGTTTGTATACTTCATAAGTGTGTTGGAAAGTAATATTTGAAGAACTTTCGGTTGAAGTAGTTAAGTAGTAGGCTTCTTCGTTTGCTTTCCTGAAAAATAAAATTGGTAAAAATAAATACACGTTATCGTTTGATACAAATGTCTGGAGATAATACGAACCCATGCAGAAGTAAAGAAACTTCGTTTACTAAATTAAGAATTTTGATTATGTTCGCTGTTCCATGATTTATACTACGAGTTTTTATCGTTGCATAAAAATGTAATTTATCATCGTAGGATCCATTAATTAATTTCATATCCAAATCTAATTTAACACTTCTCTATATTTAAACGAAATGTAAATTTATATTAATACAATATTATTATACATAATAATACAACTTTTAAGCAATTTTACAAAATACCTCTTCTTCGTTCCAAATGGGATTCCCCGTATCGCAGATTACTATTAAATTTTCTTTGGAATTATCCTCATGACAAAAAGGTAAAATGCTACGTAATATTATTCCCTTGGGGAACGTGAATTCAAGCATGGCGAGATACGCAGGTTCTCCATAGTTTTTTAAATTAATTTCCAAACTTATGTCGCTCGAGCCAATAACCCATGTATCGTTGATTTGTACATTATAAAATTTTGCAGTGGCAGATATATTAGAATTACAAACTTTATCCTCTCCACAGTCGATATTGAAAGGAAGTACAGTTTGTGCAATTTGTAGTTTATTGTTTCTTTTCTCAACAGGACAATATTTGCAAAAATCAGTCGCTACATTATCATATAAAAAATCATGTTTCGCAAAAATAGTAATTGGCTCGATGAAATCTCGTATGTTTTTCTGTAAAATATTATATTAAATGAATCGTAAGGTGATGTAAAATTGGTACAAAAAATTTTATATTACCGAAATATTAACTTGAGCAGATAGACAAATATCTGATATTAAGTTAGATGATTTTAATTCCAAAGTTGTTTGTTTAGTTCGTTGGTAACGTTCATCTATAGTAACTGTGATCTTAAATTTTATAACTAAAAATAAATTAGAATTCATTGAAAAATATAAATAGATTTAATCGTATACAAAAATTTACATAAATAACTATACCTCCTTCACTATGTAGTATATTATGCATAGTATATATTGGGCATATTTTAACTAAGAAATGTGTAGCATTTCTTTGCAACGTATTAGGTATAGTTTCAATTAAAAGTTCTGTTTTTATTATTGGCTTACTACGTAATATCACAGCATTTCCTGATTTGTATGCTCCAACTGCGATATCCAGATATCTACAAGATATAGATCATTAAACGATGTCTCAAATATTTTATAATAAATTGTACTAACCCATTGGCATCGATATCAACAGGTTTTGAAATTGAAAATCCAAATCTCTGTATATTGTATGAAGAATATCGAAAAAATTTTGCAGGTTCAATTCGCTCGGTCACTTGCAGATTTGACGAACCGCCGTTGAATATATAAATTACGCCATCATCTTCCCAAGGTGATCCTACGATGATATCTATTGCGATAAGAAAATACACTTTATAAATTTATACTATTCAATAGTGATGTAATAGATTCGAATTACCATCATATCCATCGGCATCCAAATCACCGCTAGCTATGGTATATCCAAAATGGGCTCCTTGTACGTGCCCGTCTAATATATCAGCCATTTCAAATCGTTCCTGCAAAAGTATATAAACACCAAGAACTATATTATGCAATATTACATAATAATGTTTTCGTGTGAAGTATATCTTACCTCGAATGTACCAAAATATACGTAGACTCTGCCATTATCTTCTCTGCAATAGGGTGCTCCAATTAGAAGATCATCTAAACCATCATTGTTTATATCCCCTACAGCCAAACTGGCTCCAAAAAATTCACCAATATTAGTACCGTTCAGTTTCGTAAGAGATTTAGTTTCTGGGTTGATTATTACTACCTGCAAAAAGAATTTATATCAAAAACTTTATTTACGCATGTATATTTCAAAAAATTGTTAATTACCATGCCAACATAGTTCCATCCAGGTGCTCCACTGACGAAAAGCAATTGATCTTTTTTAAAGAAATAGCCAGATTCAACACTGTATCCTGTAAATGTATTATTGCATATTAATCATAAAAATAAAATTGTCATTAAAAAGAGCGTACCGAACTGAGATACAGTGTAAAGAGACGACAACTCTATAGACGTTATTTCGTTTGAATACATTATATCCACGGTTCCGAAATCTTCGTGCTTTGGTTTTCCTACGATGTAATTTCCCTTTTTTTTATCATTACTGCTTTCGGTTTGCTAAATTTTATTAAGAATTATTTTCCAGATAATAAAGGACATAATACTTTAAAATATTATTTATATACCTTCGTTGAGGCATAATGAAAAGAAAAACCATATAACGGATTGTACCAGAATTTTGTTCCAAAATCTAGATAATCAAAATGACATAATTATTTATTATATCTTTCATAATTTTAATCAAATGTAGCATAATGACATACTATAAGATTTCAGATTATTTTCAATAAACAAAGCGTTTGAAGAAATTTCTCCACTGTAACACATGCCTTGCATAGTTTCGAAATTAATATCTGTGAATGGTTTTGAAATCATTACAATCGTCCGTGGTGCACATACCTAAAGTTAGAATGTTATTTAAAATTTTATTTAGTAAAACGAGACTGTTGCTGACACTTCACTTACTGTCAGAATTCCATTTGGTTCATCTATAGAAATGGCACTTCCAAACCAACCGAATTGTTTTCGTATAATCGTCTTCATTTCGTATCGCGTATCATATCCTTCCTCATTTTTAATTTTTTCTGGTCTAACTTCTTGACACTCGTCATTTTTAATCGTACACCGATACACAACACCAGGCTCAAGTAGGTACGGAAATTTTTGTGTATCATACCAAGAATAATTTTCTTTTGGTGCTCCAACTATCAACCTTTCGTGATTATTACATAAAAGTAAAATATGTTCTAAGAAAGTAGTTTTATTTGATGTATCACATACAAAGAATACGTTACCAGGATATATCAGTATCCATTTCGTAGTATAAATGTACAGTATAACCGAAATAATTAAACGCATTGTTACTAGAATAAATGATAGGAAAGTCTACGTCTATATTATATCCGTAAACTGTTTCAACAAACAATAAGAACATTCCCATAACAAGCATCCTGCAAACCATTGTGACAAGTTTAAACTTCACGTGCTCCTCCGAGAAAAACTATAAAACTATCGTACATTTTTATTTAAACACAGGAAGACAAATGATAAGACAATCGTTGAGAAATGTGTCATCATAATACAATTTAAGCATGACTAATAAATTATTTATTTCATCAAACTCATCCTCATCTTACAAAAATGTACAAATAGCTTCATTCAAAATCGCATGCCTAAAATTCTTGTATCTTTTAGCATGTGTTTTTCAATATCCTTCAAATAATATGGCAAACGATCTCGTGGGTCCTTTGCTGGTAATTCACGGCACTATATATACATATAATACATTTACAATTTATATTCTATATATATATATATATTACTAGAATAGTACATTATACTTTTAAACAATCAAAAATTGCAAGCATACCTTAGCTTGCTTTCTTAATTCCAAAATTGTGGGCATTAATTGAATGGTTCTTTTTTTTCTCTCTTCTAAAGCAGGATGATCCATAAATAATGGTATTTCAAATTTATTCTGTCCTGAAAGCTCTTCAAATTTCATCATAAGCTCCCAAAATACTAAAACTTCTCTAATATCAATGCAACTCTAAAAACATGAAGAAAAAATATTTTTAGGATTAAAATATAAAAATCCTAAGGATATATTGAATATTAAATAAAAATTACACACTTTTGCAGCTAATTCAAGTCCAATATCATCAGCTTCAATTTCTTTCTGTCTCTTGTATGCAGAAAAAAGAGCTGCGAATATTGTATACAATACTGAACAAAGAATGGTTGCTACTCTTCTTTCATAGAATATCCAAATTAAAAATGATGATACAATAGTTGCAATAGTATATATCGTTGAAAAAGTTGGTATTTCTGACTGAGAAGAGTTATATGTACTATCATTAATTATTATACATATTTTCTTCTTTTATGGAATATTATTATATTATTTACAATATAATTTTAACTCACTGTATGAAGAAGTATATTATGTGACATTTCGTGGGCTAAAATAAATATTAATTGATCACTACTTTTAATAAAGTTGAAAATATCAACGAGGACAATAATATTCCTATCCTAAAATGTTTAAAATTTTATTAACATTTTTAAATTTTATTTCATTTTTATATACAGATAGTAGTTTATGTATAGATGAATACATACTGGTAAAATCATAACATTAGGAAATGATGCTATATTAAACATACGATGAATTATGGTAATAGTCCAATCAGTGTTTTCAAATAAATCTTTATTAGAGTATATCAACTTTTTTAGTGCCCTAGCAATTATTTGATACTTGGGATCACTTAATGGTACAATATTCTTTTCATTTTGTACTATCATCTACACAAATTTATTATTATTATTATTTTGAGTTTACTTACTTAAATAAATTTGTTAGTTCATTTAAATACATACTTTATAAAAGATTTTAGAATCTTCAATTTGTCGAGTTTGATCAAATAAAATCAAACGTGATTTCTTTTTTACTGGGTCTCTTTCCAAATGTGTCAAACAATAAAAAACTAAAACAAATGATAGAAATCCCAAAGAACCTAAAAATACATGTAATATATATTCCTTGTATCATCTTAGATGCTCATAAGTTATAAATAATATACCATAAAATATACGTTTCCTTTGCCTAAACCATATTATATATTTTAATTGTTGCTCCGGAGTTTGTTTCAACCACCACTTTCTCACACCATGACCACAATAGATTGAGCCAAAGCACAAAAGCAAAGATCCAGGATAATTTAGTTTTTGAGTTGTATGAAAGTTTGATATTTGAAGCTTCAAACATTGCCATCTTCTCTCAAGTTTTTTACATTGAAAAGGAAATGTACCAGAACTGGTACTATATGATAAACTTTTTTTTATACATGTTAGAGTTTTACCAGTTGTTAATCGAAAGTACATTATTTATGTGGAACATTTACACAAACGAAGCCATTATAGCAGTATAACCTTTCAATAAGCTTTTACAAACAAAAATTATCTAAGAAATTTTGAGTTTTGAGACGCTGATTAATTTGTATGGCTTGTAAGGTTAGGTTGCATGTTATTGCTGAAAATCAGACAAAAAAAAGATAAATTTTAACGTGAAAAATAGAAAGAGCATATGCGTTGCAGTATATATCGCTTGCATTAAAGATGTATGAGAATAGTGGTATTTTTGAAAAAAAAAATATAAAATGAATATACGAATGTACGCTATATGTATAATAGTATAAGTGTATTGATACATCAGCTGATATGTGTCAAAGAAGAGAGTTCTATTTTCCTTTCTAAAGCAATAAAATATTAGTGCTTTAAATATATTTTTTTTATGAATAATGGCACACTTATGAATTATAATATTCCATTAAAAAAGAAAAAAAAAAAAGGAAAAATGAAATTCTTCAATAACTAAATTTCATTATATCTAAAAACATTTTAACATATGTAATATTGGAAATGGAATATCATAAGGTTATAATAGATGATTATATATCAAATTTATTGAACTGCAAATCTCTTTTTCAAATTTACCATAAAACAAAGAACGGTTAATACGATTCACAGCGTATCTACAAAATATTTAAACTCTCTCTTGAACATATAAAATTTCGAAAAGTATAATTATAAGCGTACTCTGTCCACGTTTTTCATTTTAAACGTTGTTTTAAAGACAATTAAGTAATTAGTCATCAATCCGTCAGTAAGTCTCCCTCCATCAATTTCAAAGAAACAAGTCGATTCGAGTTTAATAGAAAAATTTAAGTCTCAACTTGAGAGAAGGTTAATGTGAAAAGAAATTCACAAATGAGATTTAAACGTAAATATATATATATATATATATATATATGTGTGTATACATTTGTATGTACTGATTATCCTTGAGAATAAACCGGATAAGAATAAATTCATGGGGATACAAATTAGGAAGGAATCCAATTGAATGGATTGAATATAAAAATGGTACGATTTCCAAGAACAATGTATCGATAGAACAAATTTGTACATCCGCTGTAAAGGAAGTTCGGGTGTTGAGTCTCTGTTAGCAGTTAGCGGCCAAGGATGCGTGCATTTGTGCGCGTTTTCATGCGCCGGTGTTCGCGCCTGCGTTCGTGTGTAAATGCAGTTGCACGCGCGCAGTCTGTGTATTATGTGCGCGCACCTTGTACGTGAGGCCGTGCGCGTGTGTATGTCCATCATGAGTCAGAACCCATGGTTGGTGCGCGTTTCGTAATTAATTTCCACGGCGAGGAGAAAAATGCGAGCCTAGACCCGGGACTACGACACCTGCTCACTCCCGGGCCGCTTGTCCTCGGAGGACATGCCCGTTGTGCCCGGTAAATCGCGCACCGTTCTGCCTTCTTCCTACCCTCTTCGTATCCATTATGTGCGTCTAGTATTGTGTATTTTCTTCTCTTGTTTCTCTCGTCGTACCTTCTATATACCTGATTCTGTTCTTCCGTTGGGTTATCGTTTCTCTCTCTTTACGTCTACAGGTACTACATTTTATTTAACAGTGGTCCCTCCCGGTTCGATTCTTCGAACCGCTTACGATCTCCATTTCGATCGACCGGAGTACAATTTATTTCCTGTCTTCTCTTATATGTTATGAATTTTCATGTAACAGCACCAGTAGAGGAAAGGATTTTTGCCCTAAACGGTGTTTTCAGCCGTCGATAGTTCGGGCACGCAAATGTTTCTACGATTGGTGAATTCGACTGATTTTAACTGTCAGTCTCGACGTCGATCGAACTTTCACGGGAAAGAATGGATTGTGTATTTTTCGATAGTTTCGCTTATAGGACTTACCTATCGCTTTGTTTTCCTTCCTGTGAATAAAACCGATTGAGTCAGGTATGCATACACACACACATATATATATTTTTAATTTCAACAATAATATTTGTCAATGTTTCTCTTTAATTTTTGAATAATATTGTCAATGTTTTTTCCAAGGCAATAAAGAAGATAATGTTGTGAAACGATCGACTTGATTTTAGGTAACATAAATAATTGAAAGGGAAGAAAATAAGAGAAACATGGATCAGAACAGGAATAGACCAAGCAGACCTCGTCTTCGTTCTCATGGTAATTCTGCCAGAGTACTTGTATTTGATCAAGCTGAAAGCGAGGAATCTGCTTGCAGTACTGAAGCAGAAATGCAAAAAAGACCAATTCCGCCTAAAGTGGAGAGTAAGGAGGCTCCAGTTCGACCTGGTTAATAAAGATTTATATTATTTCATTTGTCTATTTACTTATCTTTTTATAATTCCTAGCATCTAATTTAATATTTCTGATTACCAGTTAGTGGAGAACTATCAAATCTGGTTCGGATGAGAAATTCTGCAATCGGGAAATCTGCACCTTCTTTATCTGTTCATGTGGTTGGTGATATTTATTATTGAATGTTAAATATAAATACACTAATTGATAATGATCATTATATAAGCCAAATTTATAACATGCAAATTGCTTGTTTTAGCGTGATCTTAACATTCCTCGGCGTGCTGCTAAAGCAGCTCATCGTAAATCTTTCATTGCAACAACATCTCCAACTTTACCACGTTGCCATTCACCATTATCAGGTAAAATTTTAGGTATTCTTAATTTTTTATTATTTATATCTAGTTTGTTTCTTCAATTGATTGTAATGATCTTTCAATGAAATTTCATATCATCTACAGACTATTTTATGAGAATATTATATAAGCATTCTGGCATATACATGTATAGTCTTTACCCAAGACTTTTAAATGTATATGTTAAGTGTATTTTTACATACATATATACATTATAAATATACATATTTTTGTTTAAAAGATAGTAATGCAACTATTGCAATTTGAATTCATGCAGTTAGATATAGAAGCTTTCAACTTTTACCTTTAAAAGTTTTTCAATTACTTAGAAGTGTGTATTTTATATTATTTATACGACTCAATTATCATAGAAAACTAATTTCTTTTACTGCTTATTTCCTCATATAGCGTTTGTCCCGATTGTAGGCAGTCCCCTAGAGAGTCCTAGGATGTCATCCAGTCCACATTTTGCTTTTGCTCCAATTAAGAGGTATCTATTTCATACCTACTTTTAGTCTGTTTAAATCTGATCTCTTTTCCTATATAAGTAGGTGTCGCCATTGTCAGCATTATATTTTTAATACATTATTAATAGTAAAGAAAACAAATGCTGATGCACAAATTAGGCTGTAAATTTTTTCATAAAAAACGAACATGGTTGTAAGATTTCTTGTTACTAAGTGATTGTTTCATATATATATATTACTATGATCGTTTCATATATATATATTAGTATGAATAGTGTATGTTATTTATTGTAAAGCTAATTTTTTATATTTAAATGCCCATAATATTTAAGGATTGGTGGAGGTACTACAGGAACTGGAGATGGCAGAAGATGGTCAGTTGCTAGCTTGCCGTCTAGCGGTTATGGAACAACACCAGGTTCCAGTAATGTCTCGGTTAGTTATTTTAACAATTAAAAAATATAAGACTAAAGACATCTGCAATGATTGAAGAAATCTATTAACAAATATATTCAATTAGTCGCAGTACTCGAGCCAAGAACGCTTGCATCAGCTTCCAAATGTTCCCACCAAGGACGAATTACGTATGCTTTCTTGCCATTTCTCTAAACCTGGTACGCCATGTTCTTCGCATCCAGGCTTTCCAGGTTCTAGTATTTCTAGTATTCCAGGCAGCGTATCTCTCAGTCTTGATGAAGAAGGCCGTAGATCGCCATTACACAGACCACGTTCACGAAGTTTAAGGCAAATACTTTTTACTTTTTGTAAGACATTTCAGTATTCAGTAATATAACATTTATTCAATAATGTATATTTATTTCAATTGCAGCAGTCCAAGTCGGTCTCCAGTATTGGACAGTGAAATTGTTATGATGAATACTCTTTATAAAGAAAGATTTCCAAAGGTATATTTTAGCAAGAAAGTATATATGTCGCAATAATATAACAATATATTTATCATTTTGTTTAAAAATTTTATTCGATTAGGCAACACAACAGATGGAGGAACGTTTAACTAATTTTATTAATGAAAATAAAGAATTGGATGAATATGAAGTAATGGCAAATATGACTTCTGATTCTTTACCAATTTTACGTTTTGTACATCATCAAGTAATCGAAATGGCGAGGGACTGTTTACAAAAATCTCAGGAAAAGTTAATTACAACTAGATATTTTTACGAAATGAGTGAAAATTTGGAACATTTGTTGATGGAGGTTATTATATACAAATTATATAAAAATTGCACGATAAAATGAATAAATAATAAATAAACATTCTTTATTTTCAGACAAAAGATAAATCACTTGATGCGGCAACGAGATTAACGGGACTTATTAAAAAATTATTGTTAGTAATATCGCGTCCAGCTCGTTTATTAGAGTGTTTAGAATTCGATCCAGAAGAATTTTATCATTTACTTGAACAAGCCGAAGGCCAAGCAAAAATTAATGCGGGAATAAAAACGGATATACCTCAGTATATTATTAACAAGCTTTCTCTTAATAGAGATCCAATATCAGGTAAAATTTGTTTGTGTACTTGTTTTTATCTGTTTAAATTTTACACAAGAATAATTTTAATGTGTTGTTTTTTATTTTAGAACTCCAAGAAGATTTAAATAAATTAGAAGATTCGGCGAGTTCCAGCGATAGTAATTTACAAATTGCTTCAAGTCCAAATAAGGACGATGAAAAATCTCAGCGTGTTCCTTGTGAAAGTGATTACGAAGTATTGAAACTTATTAGTAATGGTGCATATGGCGCAGTGTATTTAGTTAAAGAGAAAACTACACGACAAAGATTTGCTATGAAGAAAATAAATAAGAACAATTTGATGCTAAGGAATCAAGTAGAGCAAGTCTTCGCCGAGAGAGACATAATGAGCTTTACAGACAATCCATTTGTAGTTTCTATGTATTGTAGCTTCGAAACAAAAGTGTGTATACATTATTTGAAGATCTCATAAAATTTAAAACAATATCTATTAACAATCATTTAATTACAGAAACACTTGTGCTTAGTAATGGAATATGTAGAGGGTGGAGATTGTGCGAATCTTTTAAAAAATATTGGCCCACTGCCCCCAGATATGGCAAGATTTTATTTCGCAGAGACCGTTCTTGCTGTTGAATATTTACACAGTTATGGCATTGTTCATCGAGATTTGAAACCTGACAAGTACGTAAAAAAAGAGCACGTTGTTAATTCGTTCACTATTTTATATATCGTTTCTTTTTAGTTTACTTATTACTGCTCTTGGTCACATTAAACTCACTGATTTTGGTCTCAGTAAAATGGGTCTTATGTCCTGTAAGTAACATAAAAGTTCGATGTTCTTGATGATTATATCTTGATGATTATCGAACTTAATAGTTTCTTCTCTTTTTAGTGGCGACAAATCTCTATGAAGGCTATATAGATAGGGATACAAGACAATTTTCCGATAAACAAGTATTTGGCACGCCTGAGTATATCGCTCCTGAAGTTATATTACGTCAGGGATACGGCAAACCTGTTGATTGGTGGTCTATGGGCATTATACTATATGAATTTCTGATTGGTTGTGTACCATTTTTCGGTGATACTCCAGAGGAATTGTTTGCTCATACAGTTAACGGTAAATGTTGACATAAAGTATTTAAAAAAATGAAAATTTAAAAATATAAACGAACTATGCACAGATGATATCGAGTGGCCGGATGAGGAAGATTGGCCTGTTCAGCCAGAAGCTAAAGATATTATAACAGCATTGCTGCAACAAAGTCCTAGAGATCGTTTAGGCACTGGTGGATCTCACGAAGTAAAAGAGCATCCATATTTTTATGGAGTGAATTGGAATAGTTTACTCAGACAGAAGGCTGAATTTGTACCGCAGTTAGTCAATGACGAGGATACAAGTTATTTTGACAGTATGTATAAAGCGATATCCTTGTGTCAACGTTGAAGCTTAATAAAGCAATATTATTTCAGCTCGTATGGACAGATATAATCACGATATAGGTGATGACACCGATGACACCGATGACTCTCCTTTGTTCGGATCGTTCTCGTCGTATTCTCCGCAATCACGAAAAATATCTCAGACCCGTCCACCGCAGTTAAATCCCGAACAAACAGAGTTGGATCTCTCAAAGAAACAATTATTCCGTACTGAGCTTGAACGCACAGTTGCGCAATTATCTTTTGGATCTAATAGCTCAATTACTCCTCCATCCAAGTTAGCAGAATCGACTCCATCAGAAAAAAGTCGATCTTCTTCGTCCATTAAAAATACCACGTACATCGAAACACCTCCAAAGGCGGACAAGTCGAACTCATCGTTTACTAGTCCTGCCACAGTGACCAGTGGCGAATCTCAATTAACAGTAATTAAGAACAGTCAAGTAGAAGGGACGTCCATCAGCTTGAGTACACCCGATTCCTCGCAAACGGAGTCTGAAGATATCAGTCCGCAGATCCAGAGAAAGCGGCACGTGCATTCTCGTGATAAGCTGCCCAGGTTCAGTATATGCATTGATGATGAACACATGTGAGTCGTTCAAACATACATCTTCTGAAACATTATATAATTGTTATCACAAAATTAGCTCCGCTCTCATGGAATTCGATACGTTAATACGCATATAAGCCATTCATTTCTATTAGAAAATAGATAAAATATTATGTACGCGTGTGTATAACGAGTATATTTCATTTCAGGTTGGATTTAATTGCAGCAAACAGAGATACAACTGAGGAAAGCAAGCATAATTCTAGTACTGATTCTTTCGAATCATTCAGCGCCATACCAATTATCCCGTCCGCGAAACAGAAGTCGCGGTCTGTAATTAAGTCAGCATCCACTAGTGGGTTGTCATTAGTTATACCAACCAGTGATTTCTCTTGTACATATTATTAATGAATTGAGTTATTTTGTGTTGTGTTGTAACGTTCAACTTTCGTTAACTAACTCGCATTTTTTAGATGATGCGTCATTAAATACTCAACCAATCGAATCTCCCGGTGGATCATCCACTGCTTCTTCAAGAGATACGTCCCCTTGTCGCGAACTGAGTCCACTTGTAACTAGTTTAAAACCTCCTATTATCATTCGAAGAGGACCTTGTGGATTTGGCTTCACCGTGCACACTATCAGAGTTTATTACGGTGACAGTGATTTTTACACTATGCATCACTTGGTTATGGTATGTTAGAAATGATTGAATGAAAGTTCGGTATATCTCCCTATACTTCGTTTGAATTTATTTCGTACTTTGCAGGCTGTAGATCAATCCAGCCCAGCCTTTGAGGCTGGTTTAAGGCCAGGAGATCTCATAACGCATATAAACGGCGAGCCAGTACAGGGTTTATATCATATACAAGTACTTCAGCTGATGTTGAGTGGCGGCGATCATGTAACATTACGTAGTACGCCGTTAGAAAATACTAGTATTAAAACAGGAGGAAGAAAGAGAGATCTGACTCAAAGCAAAATGGCGCGCAGAACGTTACACAAACAGCGCAAACTGAAACGTGATCATTCTGATAAGAAACGAAAAACGTCCCTTTTTAAACGAATTAGTTCGAAACGAGCTAGCGTAGAGATGCAACAGGTACAGAAGAAGTACTTATTTCTTTGTGCTTTGTAATTTCTTTGAATCTAAACGAGTTAATGTGAAGATACATGTCCGTGGCCTTTGTCAGATCACATATGAACATTTCGAAGAATGCCTTGAATTGTGAATGTATATATTTGTACAACTTTCTTTTTCATTTTAACACAAAACTACTACCGCTACTACTATACTACGGCATAAATACTAAAGCACCGGCAATTTCTACGCAACACACTTTATTATGTTAAGTGTTACTTTTTTTTATTGCAGCCATTAACTATCAGTTGTCCATTGTCAGCACCCATTCTATCCAGCGACAGCAAACCTCCACTTATGGTATGATTTTTCGTAACGTTCCGTGAACTTCTTGCTAACTTAATTTTAGTTGCTGTTTTCTTAAGTCTCAATACTTATTTGTGCGATACAACCCCGTGGCAGCTTTTACATACTGTTCTTCTTCTTTTTTTTTTTAAATTGACCGTGACAATATTAAAGTTCTACACTATACACTAATCACAAAAGATATTTGAGTATTCAAAAGAAGAGAGTTTGATGTTACATCTTTTGGATAGTATCCAAAGCATGTTCGTCGGATAGAAACGTTACGCAACTTTTTTTTCCAGATGGCTGCGGGAATTTGTTCGCCGTCAATGGTGACACCTAGTCGATCGTTCCAGTCGTTCACACGTTCTCAAGAAACGTCACCGTACTTTGCAGCATGCACAAAATCCGTCTGCAGCCCATCACCGCCAACAAACCGCGTCAGCTCAGATTCTTATCACTCCACGGGGAATTCAAGTACCTGTTCCAGTCCAAATTCTTCCTCTCCGGGCTCCACTACGTCGGCTGCGAATCTATCAACTATCGCCAATCAATCTCACTATCAGAGGCCGAGCACACTTCACGGTTTGAAGCACAAGTTGCACACAGCTGCAAAAAATATCCATTCGCCGAATCGTAGAAAATCAGTGGGACACATACCACTGTCGCCACTGGCTAGAACTCCGAGTCCGTCGCCTCTTCCAGCTAGTCCCACTAGGAGTCCTAGTCCGCTAGCGTTCCCCACGGGGCATCAACCTGGTAGCTCGAATACCACGCAATCTTATAGTCCAGGTACTTACAAATTAACATGTATAATTAATAACTTTGAGCGTACGTAGAATCAAATTAAACTGTTGCATTTACAAATAAACGGACATATAAGATATTAATACAAATATGTTTTAAATACTTAGGTGTTTGTTTGTCTACGCCAAACAATCAGAAAAAAGGTTACGGACGGCCGAAGTCAGCAGAGCCCGGTTCTCCGTTGCTAAGAAGAGCGCTCAGTCCGGATAGGCTTCATCCCCGATCCGCGGAGAACAAGACATCTATCTCACCGTTGGCGAACACAGTAGTGAAAGTAACCCCACGTACAACTATAGCGCAATCTTATTCAGAAACATCCGACGAGTGTAATGATAGTTTTAAAGAGCCAAGCGACTCGAAAGTGGAGAAAAAAGTGCCAACGGAATCGAAGGCGGATTATTCGAAGATATCTCATGGGATATCGATCAACTTGGGAAACGTAGGTATATCTAATTCTTGCGGTAGTACACAGCTACCTAGAATAGCGGAAGAAAAGGATTCACCGACCGGTTCAAAAGCCGACGATTACTCAAAGGAAGTTTTAGATAAGATCGATAAAAATAATACATCTATAAATAAGTTAACAGACTCGGAGAATATCAGTGAGCGAATTGAATCAAAGATGGAGAAGCAGAATTCGTGTACAAAGAATGTAGAAGCTTTATCTACTAATAAAAATGAAGAAGGTGCTCAATTGGATAATTCTTCTAACGTACAAGCGTGTAGTTTGCAAAATACATCTCACAAGCAATTCCAAAATATCGAAAAAGGCTCGCAAGTTTTGCCTCAAAAAGCATCGTCACAAAGCGGTGAGAAAAGCTCACAATCTTCGTGTCAGAAGCCATCATTACAAGCCAATGAAAAAAGTTCGCAATCTTCTGCTCAGAAAGTATTATCGCAAGCCAACGAAAAAGGCTTCCTGCAAGGTGTATTGCAGAAGTCGTCTCAAAGCAACGAGAAAGTGCCACAGGCTGCGGTACAGAAACTACATCAAAACAATGAAAAAGCAGCTGTTCCCCATAAAATAGCCGAACAAAAAGCAGCTAGTAAAAATTCAGAGGCTAATCCGGAAGGAAAAAAAGTATTGAAGAAGTACAAAGTCGAAAGCTCTGACGGCTCAAGTAACAATTCCTCTTTGCAACATATGAGCGCATTTGAGACTATGGGAGCTGGGAAAGACAAGAAAAGCAATTAAATAATTATCGTTCGATTGATCGTTTAGATCTGAGAGTATAACAAAACAAAATATCTGTGTGTAATGATCAGATTTTTTTTCTGCCAATGAAACGAATCGTCTGTTTTTTTTTAAAACTCGTCTCTCTTTGCAATCAAATTTTATAAAAGAAGAAAGTCGAACGTCTGATAGATGCACGAACATGCACATTGTAAAATCGAGTAAAATCAGAAAAGTGGGAAATCAAAAAAAAAAAAAACAAAAAAAACGGTAAACTGTTTTGATGTTTACAGCTTTAAAAGGAAGGTTTGTACTCGGATTAAGTATTTATAGGCTTCCATCGAATAACATACCTGAATACATAGCTTTAGCTGGTATTTCTATTTCGTGACGGTATTTAAGGGCTACCGCTATTCTGTAATCATAATCTTTGTCATACGATCATTGAATAACAAAATATAATCCAGATGAAAGTAGAGAATAACTACAATTAAGTACCATTTCAATGGTTTTTGAACAGGCGCAATGTGTTGAAATTATAATTGTTAATTCTCTGCAAGAAATTGAGGAAATAAGAACGACAAAAATTGGAGTAATTTACACTTCGGGCTACAGTATTTATACGATCTCACTTATATTTACGTCTAATTATTAGCGCATCATATATGGATCAATATATAGCAGTCAGCGAATCGCGTACAGATAGGTTTTCAATACGTGTAATATTGTGTGAAGTTGAAGAAAAAGTGGAAACAGTGTATCGTATATACTCGCAATATCCAGAGTTTTATCTTTTACTTTGTTTAATACCAAATAGTAACGTTTAAAAATATAATTCTTTTCATAAAAGTTGAATCTGCATGTTGAAGATATGCACATTTCTAGGTTTTATGAAACAATAAAATTTTTAACTGTGTATTTGATACTTTGGAGAACATTCATTTCAAAATCGGCCTATAGTGCGAGCATATACGGTAAGTGATTATCGCAAGGATTAGTGTATATATACAAGATGCTCCCGTATGCACAATGATATTAACACGTCTCAGTTCCATTCGACTATGTACTGTGATGTATTTAATTGAAATGAATACGAATTGGTGCTAACATTTACCGCTCAGGTATTTTTGCGAGAAGTGGTGCTCTCAGACAAGTTTCAAGTACCTAAATCACTCACTCATTTACAGAAAGTGATAAAAGAGTTAGCAGAAAAAATAATTTACAGAAAAAAAAGGAAAAAGACAGCATTAAAAGTATAAAGTAGCGAACATATCGCATTGGAAGCATCTTGAAAGTTTTTCAGCGATGAAGAGAAGGAATAAGAGTTGCGAGCGTCTTGGAGAGCAGACTTAATCCTCCCAGATGCATTGTAATCATTTTTTTAGTATTAGGTATTCGTTAATTTATTCTGTATATATAAAAAAAAAAGAACTATATTAGTTAAGGTCAGAATATGTGCTTTATCATGAATCATGAAAAAAGGAAAGAAGGGAAATGATAAAGCAGGCCGCGGGTTTGGTTTTTGTAAGTCACCGCGTTTTCTTGACGCTTGTGTCGCTTATTCTACGAAAAAAATGAAACATTGCCATAAAGAGCAACATAATATATATAGATATATATGTATATATATACTTATATATAACGTATGTGTGTCTCAGCCATAATAATATCAGTTTGTTCTTGACGATTTTTTAAACGGTGATGTATTAATGACAAACGGAGTAATTGTGATGTTATATATTTCTGTTCTTTTCTTTTTTTTTTTTTTTCTAAGAGAATGAAATATATTTGTGTTTGTTTATTAGTTAAAGCAACGAGGAAAATGAAGTAACTTAGCCGCGCGATATCGATCATTAAAAATAAATAATACGTTATATATATTGTAAACACGTCGCTTTAAATATAAGGATAGACGATAAGGAGAAGAAGCTAGCTTTGGAGAAAATAAGCAACGTTACGAAGTACAGCTTCGAGTATCATCGACGTCATCTTTGCATATACTTCATTAGCGGATTTTTCTAACGTCAACAAAATGACCTGCGACAAATACTAACCGAAATTATTGGTATATCGTCTACCCTACATTATTAATTTATTTTGCACGCAAGGCAATTTAACTCCGTTCGACTTTTGTAATCGTTCGTAAAATTGTTTCTCTAAGTCAGATAGAGCATCACAGATTAATCTTAAAAGTTTGATAAGAAGAGACTCGTGTTTCGATTGTTCAACAATCGCATTGTTATTAAGAATTTTTCAGGCAGCAATTGTCATCGCGTCTCTCCCCTTTATCCGTATCCCCTTTTCTCTGCTTAGTGTACGGTTGATATATGATCGATGTTATAGCGTTGATGTCGTCTTAGTTAAGAGTCTGGTAGATGTTTCCCAAGAACTTTGAGGCAGCTCGAACGTTTTTTCGAATTCGATGAATTCGCTGCTCTACGAGGCTAATGCGATTAAGAGGAGTCAAGAGTAATAAGACGGGAAAATTAAAAAAGATGTAGTAAAAATAAGAAATTCGTCATGGTAAGAAACACGGAAGAAAGGAAAAATGTTGAATGTTTCGGACAATTGACACGATGTTCAACCTTTCTTGAAAAACGTGAAAAATATGTTCGGCGCGGATTCCACAGTTTAGAACAAATTTGAGGAAACGAAGGAACGAAAAACAATCATCTCTAAAATTTCGACGATCGCGTATTATTAATCTATTAATGGTAGACGTAATAATATGGCTATTATTCTTTGTAGAAGCGTAGGAGGAGCCATCATTGTTATTTTCATTACTTTCGCTTTATAGATCATTTCCATTCTCGTTCGTTGCACGTAGACGAATAAGTGATACTAATTAGCGATATATGGATCAATGGACAGCGAGAGCAGTTTCCGGTCCTTAATTGTAAGAACAGATCATAAATTGAGGAGCTGAAAATTCAAAAGTTACAGTAACGAGTAACCGAACGGGCGTCGTATTCGAGTTTTCACAAGTGTGATAAGTTCTATTCGAATTATCAATTTCTATATCCGAAAAAGAGAAAGCGAAATGAAGAAATTTTCGAGAGGAGATTTTTCTACATATTGTAAATACGCGCCCTGTGTGATGTACGGTTCGAAGACGATCGATGCTTTGTTTGTTGAATATTGTTTCGTTATATTTATATGGATTGTGATCGCTGTGTATAGAATTCATGAATTCGTTGGAAGTTGTTTTATGAGGCAAGCAAGAAGTTAAAGATGATGCCCTTGCTGATGCCAAGTGTTGTTGTACCCTTCAAACAAAAAACTGAGTCCTTAAGAATTTTTCAATTTATTGACAAAAAAATCTGTGTAAAGCTGGGAACAGCTTCGACGAAGATGTCGCTTCGACACGTACACGGTTTCCCTTCCTGTTTCACGAGAATAGAAAAGATATTGTGAAACAGCGTGAAAAGTAATAATAAGGAATATTTGTATAAAACAATTTTCGTATATTCGTCTGGAACAACTCGGTTTTAATCATAGGTAACGAAACGATTTGTGAAAAAAAAAGAAGAAAGAAAACGGAAACGCAGGAAGCGGCGCATTGCGATCAATATTCGAACTCCTTTTACCTTACCCTTTCCTTTTCCACTTTTTTAAGATCTTCGATAGACTTTGTTGTTCTCTTTTTCTTTGTGATAAGCGAACAGATATTCTCCATGAGAATGTTTATTTAGCGAACTCGATGAACGTTTGATAATTATATTCACACCACTCCACGTGAAATACAGTTTCGTTTCTTACTATACTTGGTTGTTTCTCCTTCCGAGTCTATTCATATCACGCGTGCGATTGAAAAGTCAATGCTCGAAAGATGCGAAAAATGAAAATTGGAGTAGGTCAAGTGCGAACGTACTTATTCGAAAGATTACCCTTTTGCGTCAGTGTTAAGTTTAGCTGTGAAGTTTCTCTTTTTTCTTTTAATATTCAAGTCGAACAACTCGAGAAATTCAAGTTTTTCACTTCCTTGAAATACATATTTTTCCTAGCTTTTACGTAATAGTTGGGTTTATCACTTTTATATAAAATATTGCTCAATTCTCACTCGTGTATCTATGAAAAAAAAAAAAAAGTAAAAAATATTCATTGATCATTCGGAGAGAAATTAGACGAAAAAATTGAATTGAGCTTTGGAGCAAAATAGCGTCAGCAAAAATACTAAATAAATAGCTAATCATCCTCAACAAATATTTCAATTTCCTGTTTAATATATTAGCTAGTGTATTTAATATTTTACGGAGAATCTAAATTTTTTTCTAGCTTAAGATAGTTGTAACTCTATAAATATAGAGACCTAAAGCTCTCCTGTATTATACAAAATACTAAGTCTGTTTATATTTGTATTTCTAAACTAAAGTATTCATGGATACTTTTGACAGCCCGATATTCCTAAAATGGTAAAAACCGGAACGAATCAATGTTAATGGGCCGAGGATCCATGATTATGATACAGCACTGAGGCTACATTTGGAAACTAGAAGGAGCATGGAGGGGATAGGCGATTACGTATGCCTCGTGCGCGGATCAGCATCTTGCAGTTTTAGTAGCTCTCCTTGAGAAACTTCAGTATGAATTGGGATGATCGAGGGTCAACAACGATGACGAGGCTCGTCATACTCTTATTCTTTTGTGGCGTGATCACTGGCAGTAACGACACCGTGAGCAACACAATCCCGGACAACGTGCTACTGGATTTAGAAGAGCAGAACGAAGAGAGCACATCTACGAAGAATAGAACTCTGAAAGAACTATACGAGGATGCTGTACACGCTTATCTGGACGAAGACTGGGGCCGCTGTATTCAAGACTTTAACGCGGTTTCTCACGGGTAAGTTTGAAACTGAAATTATGAATTATTACAGAAAGAGGTTTTTTTACCAATTAAAAAAAAAGGATAATTAGCGATAAAAATATTTAAGCAAAGGAATTCTATATATACTCTTGCTAGTTTATATTTAAAGGAAAAGAAATTTAATTTTTAAGTTAGTAAATGTAATAAAATGAAACGTATTTTATTGCATTGTACCTCTTTCATTATCCTTTCTTCTGTTTGATGCTGTTCCAGATACAAGGCTTACAAGCGAATGATAACGAACTGTAGACGAAAATGCCGCACAAAAGCTGCCGGCTCGGCACCGATTTTCGCAGAGAACATCGAGGATTTGCACTTTTACGAAAAGAAAGTAAGAGAGACATTGTGCCTCTTAACGTGCAATCAGGAATATCGTGAGATCGTCGGCTCGAAAGCGCTCAAGATGCTGCCGCGGGAGACTGAACAGAAATTGCTCCGGAATAGTGTTTACGAGTACCTGCATATATGTTACTATCAGGTAACTACAAAAAAAAATTATTAAAAATTATCTTATGATTTAATATGCCTTTTTCTTTAGTGTTACATAAAATAATTATTGAAAGCAGGGAAAAATATTAAAAATTAAAATAGCAAATATATTATTATTATTATTATATATTGTAAAATATAAAACGATTGACCGATCTGATTGTAGCTTCAGTCTTTTAAGTTTACTCCTTGATGTGTTTTCACCGTTTTATAAGCAAACCTGATGAATTCTAATAAGAGAACTGATGTAATCGTGCCTTCGCAGATCCCACACCGGTAATTTTTCAGTGGCTAAATAATGAGTTTAACATTCTGAGCGGTCAACTCGGTCGTAAAACCTAGCCTACGTAATCGGTGTGACAGAGCGTATTGCTTATTGCGTTCCGTAAAATCTCCTTTGAGACAATCAGGCTTTATGTATACGACTCCAATTGGTTTTCACCTTTTCCAACAGCAATCGACCACGTTGACCCTATTCTTTCAATACGAAATCTTACGTACGTTAGCCTTTGCCGGTATGTTTTTGTTTGCAGAAACATCGATATCAGGATGCAGCCAACGCGCTGTTTACTTATTTAGTCGAACATCCGAAAGACAAGGTGAACCTAGATCTTTTGAAACGCTATTTAACACACCCAGGCGTAAAACTCGAGAATGTGGTAAATCTAGAACTACCGACTTATGTCAGAATCTATTTCCAAGGGGTTTCGTCTTATGAAGACGAGAATTACGCAGAGGCCGTCGGCTTGTTCGAGGCATCGTTACGGTTATACTTAGAAACCGAGGAGGAATGTAGATTTTATTGCGAGGGTCCCTTTGACCAAGGCTGGCATCCAGAGTTCACTTCCTCCATTGCGAGTGAGTAGACCTGAAACGTAAACGATGTCAGAATCTTCTAAACATAGTCCACTATTCCTTTCAGATCATTTTGCGTACTGTCTGAAATGCAAACGAGCTTGCTCACGTACATTAAATAACGTGAATGGCGATTACCGCAGACACATGCTCAGGGATCACTACAACTATTTGCACTACTCTTATTACAAATGTGAGTATACTCGGCTCGTCGAAACGCGATGCGATCGTAAGATAAGTTTACAACGACTCTGAAAACGCAAAATTTTAGCCAAGGCTGCGTGAAACGCATATTTATCTGAAACTTCCGTGATAATATAACGCTTTCATATTTAAAATTTGCATAGTCTTGGACCAAATAAGTTAATAGTAAATAAACTGACCCCTATTTATCACTGCCGGATTTCCTGCTTATAAAATGTAGTATATTTATTTCTGAAAGATTTTTATCGTCTCGAACAATAGAGACATGTGATTTGATAAACCATGTCTCTGTGTATATTAATATTTCGATAAATTCTATTTATAATAAAACCTCGATGTACCGATAATTACCTTATAAATTTTACATTCTTGTAGCAAGTTAATTTTAGTTTCATGAATAAACCTCCTCAAGAAGCTGGTGGTCGTATCTTGAAGGAGGTTTAACTGAAATGATCTTGTTTAAGTTAGGTTGTTACATTTTAATGATCGTCGTTATCCGTGAAAATTGTTCCGAGCTGTTGGCTAATCTAGTTTTTTGTCGCTGACCGTGATCTTTCGTTTAGCCAGTTCATTTCTCACCATGGGCAGCCTTGCAAAATATTATATGATAATTGGATACGATATCATAGTAAATAGTATCATAACATGTTTTCATAGTGGGAAACTTGAAAGCTGCTTGTGCCGCTGTAGAAAGTTACTTGCTTTTCGATCCGGTGGATAAAGTAATGCTGCAAAACAAAGATTATTATAGTGCCAAGCCAAAAGTTAGAGAAGACTATTTCTCTCCAAGAGAGGTGATCATTTATATCTAAACATATGTGTCGAAATATAATTTAATACATACGTATGATTAAAATCAATTATTCCTTTTTTTTTAGGAAACTTTCAACTACATAAAAAGACAAGAATATGAATTGAGGCTGTTACATTATATTTCTAATGAATTTTCAGTTCTGGATGAAAAATTTAATAAGATACGAAAAACAAAACAGGATGAGAAAGCAAATAATGCTGAAGAGGAAGAGCTAGGAAAGGTAAAGAATAAGATATAAAAAAAAAAAAAATGAAAAGATATAGTTGATATTCAACCGATTGTTTGAAACAATTCATTTGTTAATTGATGCGCAAATACAAATCGGATGATTATCTGCTGAAGTCTAACATGCTCGTAACTTTAAAATTGTCGGTTTTGCCTGTACTTTTTGTAAGAAAAAAAAAAATAAAATATTCATAAACAGAAATATTTTTTATCAAATAATTATTTTATTATTATTATTATTATTTACTATTTATATTTCTATTAGACGTCATATTCGAGTTTTCGTTTAAACGCCTAGAGAATGCAACCCAAAGTACATCCATGGATTTATTGTGCAAGCGTGCAGGGAGTAAGTTGATTTTTACAAGATTAATTTATATTTTTAACGGCTTATTTTTAGAAATCGGACATCGAAACAGTATCAGGCCCGCCACCCGGTTATTCGTTGTTCTCTCATATGAAATTGTTAAACAATTCTACAATACGAGTCGAGGGCATCAAAATCCATGATATTCATTTAGTAGCAAAAGAGGAAGATCTTGGTGGAAAAAATCGTTACGTCGCTGATAATTTACTTAACTCCACTGAGTGTGAATCTTTGATGCAGTTCGCTACTGTATGTATAATTTCTATTTGACTCTTTAATATTTATATTTGTATTAACAAATATCTTAATTTGCGTGTGTAAAGATGACCGCGATAGAAGGAGATGGTTACGATGAAAATAAAAGTCCACATTCAAAACACGAAAAATTTGAGGGAATAACTGTTGGGCGAGCGGCCTTGGTAAAGTATTCTTATTTCATGTCACGGCACAATAATGCGTTGACATATTAATGATGTGTTAACTTTAGATGGTGTATTTTGGGCAAATAAAACCAGAATGGTTGGAATTACTTTTGGAAAAAACCGAACAAGTCCGAAGTCACGTGGAAAAGTATTTCGGAGTAGATCGACATCTGTATTTCACCTACACTCATTTGGTCTGCCGCACGGCTCTACCTGGTAATTTTCACCCGATGCATCACCGTGCTTCTGGTTCCTTTCGCAGCCGAAATCGCGTTACGCCGATTCACTTGGTACGACTTGTGGCGACCAATCAAAATATAACTAAATAATTACTCCCTGAAAAAGCTGAATTACTCAATTTTTAATCGAGATTTTTCTTTCTTCTTCAATCTAAAACACACATACACATACACAAAAGGAAATACATAAAAGAGAGAAATGAATATTTGTTTCATAATCTCTGGTTTTGTTTTAGACATGCCAATGGATCGAGATGACTTGAGCCATCAAGTTCACGCGGACAATTGTCTGTTGAAGAACAAGGATACTTGCATTCGCGAGAGTCCTGCTTATGTCTGGAGAGACTACTCCGCGATTTTATATCTAAATGACGATTTTCAAGGTGGTGAATTCTTCTTTGCCGAAGATCGCTTTATTCGAGAGATGGATAACGTTGTTTCACCACGTTGCGGGCGAATGGTGGCCTTTTCTGCTGGCAAAGAGAACCTCCACGGTGTTCGTGGTGTTCTTCGAGGTAGAAGATGCGCTTTGGCCCTCTGGTTCACTCAGAATGAGAAATATTTGGAGTATGAGAGAGCACTGGCTTTGGCAATCTTAGAAAGAGTTCGACAAATAGGGCCTCTTGAAGGGAAGGACATCCAAATGCCTCTAAAGTAAATAATAAGTATATTCAATATTTTCAATGATAGATTGGTAACTAACTTATTGTCTTGAAATATTTCTCCGATCTTCAGGTACGAGGATGTGCTCATTGAATATATCCACAGCGATGAATTACTAAAACATTTCTTTAAAAAGTTCTCTATCACATAATCATCACATATCAATATAAATGGCAGTGGCTGCAACATTTCGCTACAATTTTCAGAGGTTGCCCTACCGAGGAATGATAATATTTAAAGAGTAATATATATTTTTACGGTTAGTAGAATCTGACCTAATATTTAAACTGGGGACCTGAAAAGATATATTGATAGTAATTAAAAAAGGTAATGAATCCTAGTAAATATATATTGAATTGTTCGGTTCGGTTTCTCTATGCCTATAATGGCTTATTAAAAATTACGTACCTTGCAAATGTCTGAATAAAACGTAGGATTAGATTGCTTAAAACATGCATATGATCGCTTATGTAAATTCAGGACAAATTATTTTTACATTATATCACACACACATATATATGTATGTATGTATGTATGTATGTATAATACAAAATGTACTTCATAATAGGGATTGTATAGAATTTGCGAGAGATTTGTACAGTGTTGATTATAATGAAATCAAAACGCAACACTTGTTGCAATTCTCTTAGTGTTACATTCTCTTGTCATTTTTACATATCTTGCTTATTCACAGCTTCTCTTCTGGTTCATTCATTTCCTTTTCTCTTTCTTTTTTTCTTTAAGCGTACAAAGTATTGTGTTAATCTTTTTTATCGAATTTTCTCGAAATATAATCGTCTCTGTCAAGTATATTAAATCAGTAACTTTATAAAATACACACGCACGTACACACATCTTTCTCTCTCTGTGTATATACAGGATGACCATAGTCGCGGCAACTGATAGTTTATTTATATATAAAATATCCTAATCTTTATTAGAACATAGACATTACATGTCAACAGGCTTACATAACCATTCTATGTATCATGTAACATGTATATTGTATTAATTTATTCTTCTTGTTCGTATTTATACTATGTATAAGGGTTTATTATGTATATGCAATTGCATTGCAATTTTTTTCTCTCTCTCTTTCTCTTTCATTCCTTTTTCATACACCCTTTCTCTCACACATGACTTTAAATCTTGTACACACGATTACCTTTATTTTATTATATATCGCGTCAATTCCGATAAAAAATGGGCATGTGTGTGTATGTGTGTGTATTGTGATTTCTTTTTTTTTCATCAGGATGTGATGAAATTGTATTTGTTGTCATTATTACAATAATACGTAAAAAGCGAATCGCATAAAATGTAATCATACGTTTTATTTCTGCGTTAATCGTACGCATAGGAATCAAAAAAATTTACGCCCGACCGCAATGACATCGAAAGGTGATTAAAAGAGACCAACATGGTTGAATCACGTTCTTTTAAACACCATCAATTCTTTGTTCGGGAATTCAGTCTGGAAGAAAGTGAACGCGATCGTATTAACATTACTTATGTTTCGTTACAAACATTTATTACGAAATTATAGTGACATCTTCGTATCACAGAAGAGCTCAGTCGATTTTTCGTAGGAACCACTCCATAATAGTCGTACCCTCTTTCCTTTTCTCTTTCGTTCTCATCTCCTTTTTTTCTCTTTTTTTCATTTTTTTTAAACACTATCACGCGCAACCATGTACGAAAGATGGATTTTCTCGTTTCAAGTCGTTGAAATACATTAACTAATGTCACTCTTGCCGATCAAACGCATTAAGAGCAGGGTCAATCAATGTAGAGAATGTAATTAAAAAAATATATTAACGTATTTGTCAAGTATTAAATAAACAAACAATATCAAATGGAGTGGTCGCCAATTTTATCGCATTACTTAGATGGCATTGCTCTTCGTAGACCTTTACTTTTCTTCACATGAGTATATAATAATAATAATAACAATAGTAATAATAATAAAATGAAATGTAAATTCGTAAAATAGAAGTAGAGCATCGCGGCTGAACGTTGAATAATTTCCTTAAAATGTAAAAATCATCTTATAATATATCCCTTAAATGAATAATTGCTATAAAAAAGTTTATCGTGCTTGTTATTCGGTAATCAAACACAGCAATTCGCACTTCTCCTATGAATCATCTCATAGCTTAAAGCATAATGCACTTTTTAGAACCAGGTAACGAATACCCTGCAACAAGTGCCATTGCAACTCGTGTATAGATCAAAATTAAACAATTTAGATCTTTGAATATATTGAATATATTTGATAAGCTCAAACTAAATATATTAAAAAAAGAAAAGAAACAAGAAAATTCTTCTGCATTAAACTTAAAGAAAAGAAAAGAAAATGTTATGACTTTTAAAACAGATGAAAAAGAAAGAAAAAAGAAAGACATATTATGTGAACTATGCACGAAGATGCACGGCATTTATTTAATTCGTTAATAACTAAATTAACTTGTTGCCGATCATCTAAATTTGCACAAAGGGAAGATTCGTGTGTGCTGGACTATATAATAATATTCGAGTTCGATTTTTTCAGACTTATTCTTAAAATTATTACTTCGTTTTTATGTACACATATACATACAAGGGTATGTATGCACATGTAACGACTAAACGAAATGGCTTGTCTCTCAAAACGGTTGATTCACTTTGTGAATATATTGCAAAGCGTAGCAAAAAAAAATACTGAAAAAGAAATAATGAGAAGAAAAAGAAACAGATAGAATATAGTCGATTTTCGTCAAAGTGTTAAGAAGACGTTAACATCTTTAGTTAGCTCCTGCTCTAAAATGATAAATATGGAAAAATTTCTTTAATGTTATAGGAAAAGTATTGGGTTACTTTTACGATAATGGAAAAAACGAAATGATCACTATGAAATTACTACGAAATTACTTTTACAATTTTTCGAAAAATTTATGAAATCTGAAAAACTAATCACGAGTCACGCAGCTAACTTGTTCGTTACAATGTTAAAATTGTATACTTAGTTAAACGTTTTAATAAAGCATTTTTTTTTTTTTCATTACTCGTCGAATTTCACTTAATATATATATATACGAACTATCACTAATCTATCGAACAATTTGTTCTTAACATCCTCGCTATTTTCTTTGTTCATAAATAAAGCAAAACTATGTTGGAATTTATATATATATATATATATATATATATAAAGTTCAATGAGTTGCAAAACGGAAAATATGATTTCATTTTAGGAATCATTACGTTTTAGACTTTCTTCATGTATGTATATGCAACCAATATACTTTCAAAAATTTCACGAATATCAAAAAAAAACAGATTTGAAAATGTACACGGTAGGACTGCATTGAAAGATTTTAAAAAGTAAATATCGACCCTCCGTGTAAAATAGAAATATTAATGTACAGACACGAAGTTAATATTGGCCTTACAGAACCTTTACATTTCTTTTAAAAATTTTTAACGCGCAATATGATAGTTATATATAATAATAATTATATTAAAATTAACGTAAAATGTAACAATAGTTTAAGAACATTGTACTGTTTGATGATCTTTCCTAGAGCTTTTTTTCGTGCTGTTACGTAAAAAAAATTTATAACGTATTTTGATTATTATATAGACACAATAATATGGCGAGAATATCGTGGTGAAAAATATGCTGGACACCAAAGGCTTTATGCGAGAAAATTACTTACTCCTCAACGTTCTAAACGTATTCTGCTTTCATTATCGTCGTCATCCTCGTAGTCGTAGTTACATCTTGTTTACGCGTCACGTATAAACTTTACTAAAATAGTACAATCTAATCGAGAATATATAGAAAAATTGAAAAATATACAAGTTATAAAACACATAGAACGCTATTCATCAGGTAGCAAGTGACTTACGAAGTCCAACTATGTTTTTCGTTACATTTCTGTCCAAGTATTTTCTTCATCTAGCATCATATACCATACTACACTCATCCTAATTTATGAAGGTACGAATTCATACAATACCTCCATTTGTCACTTTCTCGTACCCAAAATCCATCTTTTTTTTTCTTTTTTAATTCGTAACATGAATAAACTTTACATTCTGCTACACGAAAAAATCACGTAGCGCCACGTCATCTGTACAAATTATTCATCTACTACGTAATCTTATTATTGTATCGCACACGTTCTTTGGTATCCAACAGGCTTCCCCACGCCGATTTCGAATTTGAACGGACATTAGTTGTGGTATGGGCAGTGAATGAACAAGCAAGTACCAATATTAAATGGGCAGACTCTCCCATTGAGGCGCCCATTCTGGAAGTCGTCAATCCATATTTGATGGAGGAGCAGCGTATCTACTTCGTGAGTCGGAATCTCCATCACAAATATATTTTCCTAAAAGTACACGGACAAACGTTCTCGTTCTATAACCTATATATATTATTATTCTCTCGTATTAAAAAAAAAAGATACGTATATAAAAACGCTGTCATAACTAAAATAAGCTAGAGAAATAAACAGATAAAGGAAAAAACATAAATTACTTACCAGATACGAATCTACGCTTTACTAAACTTAATCTATATCCCGGGCCTAAAAGCTCAAACTCAACTCCAGATAATGTGGTCCCTTCGCAATTAAACTGTGTGAATATGGTTCCTTGGTTTCCTGGCCCATGCGCTAGTTCCACTCGGGCTTTCAGTGAACCTACGCCGTTACCTTCGCTGTGCTGTGATAGTTCTGTAAATTTCCACAGTATCCGATTCGTTTCTGGTAACCATTGTGCCTGAGGTTTACTATTGAATGACTTAAATCCTCCGTCTATGGGGGCGGCCACATGGAGGTTCAACAGTGGACTCGGTGAAGCCATAGCACGACTATTATATTTATAATCAATCTGGAACACGGATAAATAAGAGATTGAGATACATCAATGTATTAACAGGTAAATACCTTAAGGTCGGTATGAGCCGTTTCGCATTTCCAATAGGCAACCAGCTGGAAAGGGCACGAACCCGCACCCTCCTTGCATTTGATTTGATACTTGAGTATATCGACATTAAAATACGAAGCTGAGGGATTTTGTTCAGCCTGTTTGCGTAACAACGTAGTTAAGGCACTCATATTGAATTCAAAAATTGTACAGTCAACAGTTGTCTGCGTTGCATCCCTGTAAGAAATACCAATATTAGTGTCATTCTTAAACGAACAACTAAATCGCCATCCCACCGTAAAACTTACATGCTGACGAGCTGATTATTAGGGAACAATTTTTCCAATCTGTTACTGTTTCGCACGCGGAACGTAAGCTTCGCGGGGTTTGGATTATTAGCTAACACGGCGACGATACCGGCAGGGAATGATAGCATCATATCCCCGCTCAGTTTCACTTGACACCGCGTTTCATCAGTACCTCTGAAATAAGAGTGTACTATTTCATGGAAAGCAACTGCTAAAGGAATAGTGTCGGCGAGTCCTATCGTGAGCGGAGACGGTCCTCTGGAAGACCCAACTCCAACACCAGCTGTACGAAACTCCAAACTAGCCACGCTGTCGGCTCTGGATATAGTTGCCGGTGACATTCTACCCCTTGGTGAAGGGCCTTCTCCTCTTCGGGACGGTGGTCTAGGAATGATGATAGATCCTGTCGGAGTAGAAGATGCGGATTGCTTGGGAGGTAAGGCCGGAGTGATATCTCCTACTTCCGAGAACAAGTCTCCATCTGTGTATGTAAACGATGAAATCTTCTACATTTCTTCATCTCTAGCATATGGTCTAATTGTAAGTTTAGGACACACGGTACGTTTAACAAGACACAAGAAAGCGCTCCGCGGCAAGTTAAGAGTGCAACAACAACGTGACTCCGTAAACTCACCAGGGAATCGTGGGTGAGGATGTGTAGGTGGTGCGGATTGTGGCGGCTGTGGTTGAGGCGTCGGTGACAAAGACAACGGCGGAGGACTTTGCAATGGCGCGTACGGATGACTACCAGTCGGCGTTGAGGCGCTCGATGGTGTACTGCTAGGATTGAACAAGTTTAGGCCAAGTAAATCCGAGCTTGGCTTACCTCCTAATTGCTGTGACACTGACTGAGACCTTTTCATATGATGATCTGAGTTATTCGATCCTCTGCGTCCCTGTTGTGGAAATCGGAACAATATCGTTCAAGAAAATGAATCTCCGAAGAAAAAGTTAGCCTGTAAGAGAGGAAAAAAATTAATGCGTACCGTCGGTGCAGGCGATAACGATAGATTCTCCACAGTCGCCCTGAGCTCGTCCACACTGGCGCTCATCGGTGCCCCGCCATTGCTAAGTGGTTTTATTTCCACTCGGATCTTTCGTTCCCTCTCGTCCTCCGAATCGGTATCTGAGCTAGAATAAAATCCCTTCTCATTTTCCCACGGCTCTGCTTTCGGTCTAATGCAGAAACCATCCTCATCTACTTCCGGTGTCGGTGTTTCAGACTTTCTACTGTCATCCTTATCCTCCCTATTATATAGAATTAGCGTGGTTCAGTAGAATATACCCTCAAGTGTTCCAGCAGGCCCAGTGCATCATGTACACATGATAAAATTTCTTTCATTTTATGTATCAAAAGGTCAATTATTAAGAATACATTAATTTACTTTACGGTGTCATTGTGCTTTAGCGGTACTAACGTGCCAATAACAAAAATTGCAAAAGAAAAATAAAAGAAACAAAGATTTCTAAGATCTAATTCCGTGATCAAGCTTTTCGTACAGAAAAGTAGTTATTTGCTGATTATGTTTTTTAATTCATTTCAATAATAGATGTTGTTAATTTCAATAATAAATGCTCGATCATGGGATTGACCCTTTGGTGCACTAGATCTGCTGAATGTGCATATACTGACAGGTCAGACTTTTCTTCTTTGTTGCTGCTTGTTTCCACAATATCCTTCTTCTTTTTTGCCTTTTTTTCCTTTCTTTTTTCTCTTCTGCTGCGAAGAAACCCTGTTGGTTGTGGACACACGGTATGTAGAAAACAAAGCAGCACATAAATTTTCGTAGTAAATCTGAATATACTAGATATCAAAAGTTCTTGTACAATAACATATATATATATATATATATATATATATATATATATATATATATAATGTCTAATTTCTAATCATTATACTAATATTATCGATAAAAATTATTCCCTTCTCTATTGCGTATAAAAATTAAAGAAACTGTTCATTATTAGAAAAAATAAATAATCTTTTTTTTTTAGTTACACTGAAACGCTACATTTACATTAAGCTGAATTTAATTATATTGTGTACGAGAGAAACAATTTTTATCAAGTAATTGTTCTGTTGATTAACTTGATTATAACTTAATAATTGATGTGGCATTATTCTTCTTAACATAGAGTAAAAAAAAGTAATTATAAACTAAGACTAACTGTAAGAAGCAGAAAGAAACTACGTTTTGCGGTGTCAACGTATTTGTACCAAAACAGTTAATGTATCTTTAATCGAGAAATTAATATAAAATCTGCGATTCAACGACAGATAGAAATCAATTTACTTTCCAAGTGTTTAAGGCATAGCGCAACGTGATTAAATATCTACAGATCAAACAAAATAATCGTCACCGGATCAAAAAATAGCAGATGCACTTTTTATGAGCTCTTTTCCTTTACGACAGTCTCTCTAATTATGCTGACATAAGTTTCTGTATTAATTATATTTATATTTTCTTACACGACAATGAATGTCATTATGAATTTATGATTTCTGAAATTATGATCACTTTTCTCTGCACGTACGTTCAAAACAATTTGAACAGAAAGACATATCAGCACATTCTAAAATCGATAAAAAAGTTTTCATGTCTGTATTAAGTTAGGAAAAAAATAATAGATAAGGGATACAGAAAATAGCAAAAAATTATAGCACGTTACATTAGCAAAGGTATAAGAAAACCCATACACCATCACCATCAAAATCATACAGATCTGCAGAAGTTCAGTCTCCTCTTTTAAATTGTTTTTCTAACAATAATATATACTTCCTACGATATTAATATTAGGATACATGATTTCTCGAAACAGTTAACGATACATGTATATATGAGATTGCGCAATTTTACCGCGCGCGTGTATCTCTTGTATATTTCTCTAAAAATCGGTAGAGCATACGATACACATGTTCTGCAAGCAAGGATATTAACTATCGACATGCAATGTTATAAATAAAGTGACGATAATTCGAAAATGAGATACAATTTCATATAGTAATTTTGTGAATCTTGTACATATTGATTAATCATATTAAATTTAGTATTACAAACATTCAATTAACTAAAGAAAAATAATAAAAAAGAATATAAGAGGGAGAAGAGATATTGCTACGCCAAAGGAATATTTACAGTGACTACACTGGATAATTGTGCGACTGATGAATAAAAAAAAAAGGATTGCTTGCAGAATCACATTACGCTATATCATAAAAGATATCTGCACTTGGAAAATAAATACAGATTACAAGTGAGCCATGCATTAACAGACTCAGAAGAATGGCTCACCTGAGGTCCCGTCAGTAGCCAACCCCACATTCGTATTTCAACTTTATCCAAATCCAACTCCCTTTATTTAATTAATTCTATGAAGATATGTGTTTTGTTATAGAGGCAATAAAGAAAGTTTCAAAAATTAATTCATAATTGATTAATGTTCAAAGATCAAACACGAGATATTACTATTGTTACTATTGTACTAATTACATCATACATAGTTTAAATTTCAGAAACTTTCCAAAATGCACAATTCTTCTTAAGTCTAACTTTTATATTAAATTAACAATGTCTTTTTTCTGTAGAGTGCGAATATAAAATATAAATAACAAATATAAGTAAAAATTTCATAATGAGTCGTGTTGATAGAAGAATCCCTTGATACAGGTTTACATAAAAGATTGTTAGAAAAACAATTTATATAAGTAACACTTTGTGAAAAAAAATGTTGCCTGGTTAGATTATCATGTAATTCTAGAACTAAAGCCTATTGTCTAAGCAAGCTTCTTTCAGTGTTACTCGAAGGAAAACAAAAAATATTTCTTCCTTTTATATGTGAAATGTCTCTACAAACATAAAATCGCTCTGACTGAAGAAATATTTTAAATGTGCTTTCAAAGCTAAATATAAATTAATGTTAGATATGTATCCCTCTAATTATCTGTGAATTAGCAATAAATCACCAGTTATCTTACAATATGTCTCTATGTACATAACATTAATTTAGTAGTGCTTAAACAATGTTAGTATACGTACATTGCTGATCTAAAAGAGTGCAGAGTGGAGGAACCATAATACGCGTTACCACTGTAAGTCACCAGATATTTTATTTAACCATATGTCCTGTATGACTAAAAAATTATATTGGAAGAACTATGGTAATGAAACAGTTACCGAATGCCGTAGATAGAGAACAACCAATAGAGCAAGATAAAGATAAAGGTGTATGAAAGGAGTGCTTCGTTAAAAAGATGGTCATTTAAAATTGTACACAAATGTTTCTTTCCATTGAGTACAATCACTTCTTTATGTTACTAAATTATATTTTAATTAGATGATGGATAAATTGATATTTTCATCGTAATTAATTACATTTAAATAGCATTAAAAAGAAATTGATTATGTATTCATAATATTCATAAAAAATAATTAAATATTAGTAACAGTGCAAACTTTTAAAATTTTTTTTTAATTTAAAACGACCTATTAACTTTAATAAATATCAGTATTATGTTTTAAATAATTTTTAATATTCGAAAAAATGTTATAGGAAGCTGCAGCAATGTACCCTCACCTTAAATACTTTAATCTAACTACCAAAAAAAGCAGTATTTTCATACAAATCTTGTATGTGTATGTGTGTATAAAATAGTACCGTATAACCAATAATCTAACAGTTACTTTAAAATGCGAGTAATGGATATGGTAAGGGTATAGGTAATGACAATGTAAGCAGTTACATTTAGATCCTCTGAGAGGGTTCCTGGAGATGCTGGGAGGTGGAACAGCAGGAGGCAGGTTGTTCCCCTGAGGAGTTGCAGGTGCTGAACCAGACCCTGCTTGCTTCTGTTTGTCTGAAACAACACTCATTGCTTATATCTTTCAATAATCTGTGACTCCAATGGCCCTTTTTTCTTCATCTTGCTAGTTTTATACTTATATCTATTAAAATATAATGACACTATGCACTTTCAGTGGCATAAGTAGCACTCCAGAGGGATGTTAGTTCAAATGATATAATTTTATTAAACGGTTCAATAATTTTGTAATAAAAATTATAAATAAACAAAATGAAATAAGTGCCTGTTACATTTTTTTCTAATAGTGTAATGATTTATATTCCTTTTGTTACAATTTCTATTATAAATTAAATATTATAATTTATAATATTATATAAATATTATAAATTAAATATTTATATTAAAAAAAATATCTATAAACCCCCTGGAATACAAAATAACTTATAATGTCATCCTCCACCTATTGTTAGATTATAATGCTCAAGCATTGTAACACAACCACATAAGCATAAGTCAATGAATTTGTTTCGCATATGCCTAAATCAATAAAATTTGTGATTGAGTGCTAAAAAATAAATTGAACAAGTGTATGTATGTGAATAGTAAAATGGTATTGATGTGATAAAAAAAAAAGACTGCAAAATATATCTACCAAGATATAATGTATGAATGGAAAAATCAATTTCTTATATTTTAATAGTTTCATTAATTGTAAAATTTTTTATGATTAATTCTGATTATTTTAGTATAATATAGTATTTCAGTATAGTATATTTTGCAATAAGAATTACATTATATCAAGGCAGATAAAAACTATTGCAATTAAAAGAGAATAAGGACTTGTAAATGTTATTCAACTTTAAAAACCTACCCTGGGAGTTGGACATGAACAGGTTGAGTAGCGAGGTAGTACGGCGGGAAGCCTTGGTGGCTTGTGCATGTGACAATTCTCTGTCCCTTTCATTCAGATTTTCATTTGTTTTTTCTTGTACCTTCCCCTTTTCCTCATCCACCTGACAACCCACCCCTTTTAATCCCCGATCGTTTTTTGAACTGTGAGTGTTACCAGCTACGCCTGTTTCTCCATTAGCTCCTTTTGATGTTTCCTTAGGTGTCTCAACATTGCTTTCCAATTGGGAGTGACCGGTCATTTCTCCTAAACCTGTCATGATTTCTTCATATTCGAATGTACCTGATTTATGAGAAAATTATATTCAAAATATTATGCTTTATTCTATACATGCTTTACTCTACATGTTACGAAGAGTTTTACCTGGTTTTTCAAAACCTGTATATTTGCTTTGTACAAATTGCTCTAGTAATTTGTCCACTGTCATATCCAAACACTGCCGTTTAAAATCAATATGAACTTGACCAACTTGTTCATGATTTGATTGCAAAACATCAGCATAAATATTTAAAAATTCCTTCATATGTTTTAAGTGTGTTTCCTCTACATCTTGGAACCGCTTAGTGAGAAAAAAAATAGATCATTAGTGGAATACAAATTTTTTCGGGAAATTTCATTTAGAATTAATTAGATATGTACCCTGCATGCCTGAGTCATTTTGGTTTGAAAATCATTCCTTATGATCATATACTTATCAACCAAAGTTTTATAATCATCCTGGGCTTTTTTAAACTTAATTTCTGCTTTTTCTAATTCTTTTTGACTGGCATTATCTTTCCGTAATTTTTCTAATTCCAAACCTTTTTGCATACGCATATCTTTTGCCTTATGTAAAGTCACAGTAATACTCTGTATACTTTGCACAACTTCCAAAGTGGATGATTCTTCTTCTTTTACCTATATTTATTTTGTTTTGTGTTTTTTTAACATTATATAGTATCTTTTTATAATATGAATGTAATCAAATATCAGAGATAATTAATTTATTAATTAATTAGCTATTTCAAATAATTGCCTATCACTGTGATTTGAGAAACACTATCTTTATATCTTTACAAATACTACTGTCTCAGAGAACCTAGTGACCTGACTGTGGGCGGATACTGATAGAGTAAATATACAAAATGATTCATACTTCGGTATGGTAGGTATAAAGAATGCAACAAATAAAAGAACATAAGAAAGCTTAGTTTGTTAACATATTGTTAATATACAAGAATGAATATCTTTTTTTGTGTATCTTGATATTTAATACTATGATACTTATTAAATATGCTTAATAATTCTACTATATGTAAATAATTGTTTAAAAAAATCTCCAAAATTTATTTCTATATAAGAAAATTAGGAAGAAACATTTACATACAGCCTTGTGTTTTTTATGTAATTCATCTGTATATTTTGATACATCTTTTATTAATTCAGTGACCCTTTGGGCCATTTGCAAGTGTAAACCAGCAAGTTTCTCTGCTGCTCCTCTTAAGGCAGCCCAAACAGGTGCAAATGTTCCTTGCGTACTACTGCTACTGCCAGCTTGTTTAGCTAGCTTACTCAGAACCTTATAATTATTTTCTTCTATGGTCGATCGTTCTTTTAGGAACTCAGCCAACTCCTTGCTTGCAAATGCACCATGCTTCATGTTATGATATAACACGTCAAATCCATTATTCTTTTCGCCCTTGAATTATAGAAAAAAGGTTTTTTTTCTAAGTATTTTCCATGTCAAGTACAATATATATTAGTTTATATTGCACATATTTAGGCATTTCTTATTTTTAATACATGTTGATAAATATACTTTGAAATTATTTGTTGGTAATTATTGAGATTATGATTCTTGAAGTAACAGAAAAGAAATTTCACTTGCAATTAAAGTTTAAAGCAGGCCTAAAAGATATATACTAAAGCTATGCTTAAGACCACTTAGTCACTTAACACTTGAACCCTGATCATGCTGTAAACTCACATAGAGCAGGACTCTTGAGTAACATCGGCACAATAAGGTGTCATTACATATTATTACTCTTATCATTCTATTGTACATATTATTTCTCATTCATGACACATGGCTTAAATTTTTGTTGCAAATGTTATTAATACGAAATAATGAAGTTGGTATTCTTTGTTTTTTTTCATAGTTCAATCAAGGGATTATAATTTTTTTTCTGTATATATTAGATATTTTTCAATAAAAAATAAAAAAAATAAGGCAAGATTAATGAAAATTCTTTTTATTTCAGAAATTTTTAAAACTACAACAAAACATTAACTCCATAAAAATTTAATGATAATTGAGTCATCATAATTATATCCTGCATAGAATAATCTTCAACAGATAAAATTTTAAGGGAGACAAAAGGAAGTGGTAGCTATCTAATCTGTACCATGCTTCTGTCAGGAAGGCAATGTCAGATCTTTCAGAAAAATGTATAAAACTAAAACCCTTGAAACAAAATTATAAGAAATACTCAAGTCTATACGTTTTATCATTAAAATATGTCAGATGAAAAAATTTAGAAATTTCAGTGACTTGTTACAAAGGAAACTTTTCATTTAATAAGAGCTTGATGTTGCAACTATGTAAAAAAAGAAAAACATACAAAAATTCATATTAGAATGCCAAGATGATGTATGTAATTAAAGAGTTATTATAAAAGATATTGGAATTCTTTAATAAATACAACGGTTTCACTTTCATCTGCTCTTGAATTATAAACATGCATAAAAAAAGCAGGGCATGTCAATGTACAGCTGTTTCTCCACAGATCATGGAGATGATAGGGAAATGCGATGACAAGGAGGTGAAATGGATAACCTTCAGTTCACGGGAAATTATGAAGGTAAGCATGCCGCGTAAAGGAGAAAAGAGAAAGAACAAGAATAATTAGGGTACGGTGGAAGAGAGACAGAAAAGAAAAGATTTCATTGAACGGAACGTGATGATTTAATTTAATCGAAAATAAAAACTATTACGATGGCGTGACGTACGAACAACCAGACGAAGAGTTTATTAGAAGCTCGTAAGCGAGACAAAACGAAAAGGAAAGGGAAGAAGGTTCCTCAACGTACCTAACCTAAATACAACAGGGATGACATTCTGGGATAACAAGCGAGAAGACACTCACCCAAAAGTAGTCGGCGAAATCCACAGTCATGTTGGAACCGCGATCAGACCATCATAATTTATCTTCTGTATGTATCAGGCCTAACTGCACCGTTAATAACGAATCATTGACACACACATGCACACACTGGGGGACGACTACACGACACACGAGCGAACCGTACAACAGACACAACGAGACGTAACTCAATTTACGATAAAGGATAACGTAACGTTTCGTGCTCGAACGTTTCGAGCAGAACGAGCGCGCTCGACCGCGGAGACACGGGTCAACTTATATCGACTATCTCCGTTACACGCTTTCCCACAGACAAGGTACAGAATAGGCCTGTCGCCACCGACTAAACGTACAATAGACGTGACATCATACAAGACTTCGTGCCTTACGTTCTGAAATACCGATGGCGAAAAAGATCACGTAGCGGCACAAACGAGGTATACGAATAGATTTAGCCACAGACGAGGTATAGGAATAGACCTAGTATCCAATGTATTTTTTCGGCCAACGATTTCGAGGTCAGCCGACCCCATTACCATTTTAATGTCACATCCTGTTGTACCAATTCAGACAAGTTTTTTACCGCGAAAATCAAAAAATATGAACAATGTTGCCAGTTTATTCTGAGAATTATTCACTGAATTGAACGTGGTGGTACTTCAATGAAGGATTATAATGATTTAAAACAGAAATTGATGAAAATTGAAATAAAAAATTCAGTATATATTTGACTATTAACATTTATTTAAAAGTATTAGAAAAAATTTATTGAAATATGATCATTTAGAAATCGATACTTATACGACACTTTCCTCTAACAAACAAAGCTCAACATAGTAGAGGAAAAAACTCCTCGTTAGAGGAAAAAACTGTTCAAAATACCTTTACAATACATTCAAAAATCACCAAAATCAGTGAGGGAATAGTCAGCACTACACTTTCACCTAAGTGCCTTCGTTATTGTGCGTAATGACAAAAGAAAAACGCTTGTATGTGTTCCTGCACGTGCGTTTTGCACGTTCAATTACGGAGCTGAGATGTGCTTCCTTCCGTCATTTTTTCCACTTAAAAATCGATCGTGAGAAATATCGATTTCTTTCGAGAATCGAAGTATATTGCGTATTTCACCGTTAGGGGCACTGTAATCTCTATTTATTTAATTTTCCAATTCGCGCGCGTTTCACACGAAATGTTAACTCGGAATAAAAAATAAAATCTCTGATCTAAATCAGAAAATTCATAATAAATTCTTAAAGAGGAACGAAAATATTTATACGAAGATTTAAATATGATATAAATTATATTTAAATATGATTTAATTGAAATTTGAACTACATCGTAATTTATTCTAAAAGATATTGAAATTATTATAATTTTTATTAATTACTATATATTACTGTATATAGATGTATGTATGTATGTATATATATATATATATATATATATATATATATATATATATATATATACATATATCCATATACAGTAATATATAGTATATTGTTCTTATAGTTTAATAGTTTAATTCTTACAGTAATATAACTATATATTACTATGAGAATTGGAATTCTATTGTCAAAATACAAAATTAGATTTTATTAATTAATAATAATTGAAGTAAATTTGTTGTTTGTTTCGTTTTTCACTTATGTATGATCTGAAACATTCTTGGGTCTTGAGACACTATCCCACACATGCTTCTTCCCTCGTTGCAAAAAAAAGTCCTTGTAAATAAAGCTTTGATAAACTCAGGAACACTACATACTATCACTATCAAGGCGGTGAAACGATGAATTAATTTATATTGATGTCCTTGTTGCATGATGTTGCCTTCCTTGTCTACGAATATGTCTGTCCTTGTCTCACGCTTTTGCTCTCCTTGTCTAACGCGTATAAATGTCTGTCCTTGTCTCACGCTATTGCTCTCCTTGTCTAGCACGCATATATGTCTGTCCTTGTCTAGCACTGTTGCCCTCCTTGTCTACCGCACATATATACCTGTCCTTGTTACACGCTGTTGCTCTCTTTGTCTAATGACGCTAGACAAGGAGAGCAACAGTGTGCGACAAGGACAATCTTCGATCTATTGAAAAAAAAATTCAACTTTTTACACAAATGTTTTTCTAGGACAAAACACACATAGAAAGAAAGCGGGGGGCCTAATTTTAAGGAAACATATAAAAAATTCGTAAATTATTCCTCTTAATTAGGTTATTCTCGTAATTAGTGCAAACTGTCACAAAATGGACATGGTGGCGCCATCTAGCGGTACCCCAGTGGTACTAATTAATTATAAAAATACTTATTTCTGCATTTTACGGGTCAAATGGGATATGAAAAGAAAGCTAAGGATCTAATTAGGCTAATACAATCACAAAAGTTCACAAATCATTTCGCTAAATTAGGTTTTTTCGCAAATGAAAATTTCTCTGTTTTACGGGGTAAAAAACAACGCCGCGTTGTAGCAAACTGGTGGAACTAAACGCCTCTGTAACCGTATAAGAAGAACAATTAATATTAATTTTCACGCCACAACATTGCACTCCAGGAGCATACATTACAAAGATAATGCAATCAGTTACTTTCGCAAATAAATCTGAATCTAATATTCACTATAGTTTGCGTGAAATTATGCACTCCCTACTGGCACTACTGCTAACAAACGAAATTGAAACATTCTTCATATACGTAAACTATACTTAAACAAAACATAGAACGCATGCTAAAGGTCTCTGAAATTGAAGACGCAACCATAACAGTTCACAAATGATTCCTTTTAATTAATTTCTTCTCGTAATTTGTGGAAAAACTGTCACTTGTCAAGGTTTAAATGCGACA